GTAGGGGGTCCTAGAGCTGCTACGGTGGGATGACAGAGTGACTAAAGGTGAGGCCTTGTGGGCTAATAGGGAAGGTGCTAACACACAAGGCAAAGTTGCCATCTCCCACCTGTTGTTTGTATCCACGGGAACCAGATGCCCTTGCAGGGTAGTTGACCTTTGGGGGCAGAGTAAGGGAAGTTCCTGGTAAACAGACACCCACTTTAGGAGATTCACTTTTCTGGTAAACAGATACCCACCTTTAGGTTCTCCTGGGGGTGGGGTGTCTCTAAAAACTACTCAGGCAGCAGAATGACAAGTCGTGGGAGGTCAGAAGGCAGTTCTGAGCAACACAACTCAGAAGCCAATGTCAGTTCAGACATCCGGAGTCTGACCCCCAAGTGGATTATCTTATGCCTATTTAAACTCAGCAATCTGGTAAAAACTATTCCTGTGGTGATTATCTCAATCCCACGTGCACACCACCACATACCTAAATCTGAGGAACAAAGCTAAATACAGATCAGATATAAGTACATCAAAACTCTGTAAAGTTTATGTAACACTCTCCATAAAAAGAGGTTCTATAGACTGACAAAAAAACAAATTTACTACAAGAGCCTGGAATTCAGTGCCTGAAAGCCCCTGGCTACACAGATTGTACAAAGGTCACCAGGCTAGAAAACCCATCAATTCCAGTCTTCTGGGCAGAAAAACGGGTTTGTTCTTTCTCCTGAAGGAACAACGCTGTGCTTAATTGCAGGTTCCCTTGGTGCTTGCCTGTGAGCACAGACCTCTGTGGCCTCTACACTCAGGCTTCTGCTCACCTGGCTGAAGAGCTGTTTGGGAGGCTGTCACTAGCACTGCCATCTTAGGGGACTGCTTTGTGCCAGCACCATGCTGTCTTTTCTACTATGGCTCTGTAATAAATTTGAGATTACTGGTAGACTTCTAGCAATGCTCTCTGATCATAACTGCTTTAGCTTTTTTTGAACTTGTTCTTCCATATGAATTTTGGGATTTTCTGTGAAGAATGTTGGTGGAATTTTGATAGGATTATATTGAATTCATATATTACTTTCAGTAGTCATTTTCTCAATATTCTGCTTACCATTAACATGGGAGGCCTAGTCCTTTCTTTTAGTCTTATATTATTTTTAATTTTTGGTTTTCTGAGACAGGGTTTCTCTGTGGCTTTGGAGGCTGTCCTGGAACAAGCTCTTTAGCCCAGGATGGTCTCGAACTCAGATCCTCTGCCTCTGCCTCCTGAGTGCTGAAAATAAAGGCGTGTGCCACCAACACTTTACTTTTTCCTTTAACATGCTAGAAGTGTTTCATATTCTGTATTAGGTTTATTTCTGGGCTCATAGGTGGTATACCTGGTGTTCTTACATGAGCACACATTCATTTGAAGGCTAAAGGTTCAATCATTCTTCACCATGTTTGACACAGGGTCTCAAACCTGAAGCTCCCAATTTGTAGCCAATTTGAGGCCAGGTACTCTCATGGATGCTTCTATCTCCTGGTGTTGGGATCACAGGTGCACATCACTGCACTGGATTATGTGCTTCTGGGGATCAAACTCAGACCTTCATGCTTGCATAGCGAGCACTTCAACAACTACCCTACCGTTATTTACTGTGTGCGGGTATGTGGGTGATCACATGTGAGCCATGAGGCATGTGTACAAATTGAGAGGTTGGCTCTCTCCTTCCATGGTGTGGGTCCAGGGAAAAATCCCAGGCTATCAGGGTTGGCAGCAGGTCCCTTCCTCCATTTAGCCATGTCACCCCATTCTCTCCCTCTTCAAAATCAACTGTGAGCAGAATTCTGAGTTCTTTCTTTTGGCAAGTTTGTCTTGATTTTGATGCTACAAGATACAAAATCTTGTTAAAAAGTGTTTATATCATGATTTCCATCAATTTTTTTCTTTAAAGACATTCTCTTACTGGCCTGCAACTCAGTAGGTTAGGTCCCAGTGCTGACATGGTTCCATCCCACATAACATTCATGAAGCTGGTGAGGGAGGATTTGGGGGAGGGGAATATGATTAAAATATATTGTTTGAAATTCTCTAAAATTAAAAAATTATGGGGCTTAGAGCTGCATCAGCAGTTAAGAGCACCTACTGTAGGCCGGGTGGTCCTGGCGCATACCTTTAATCCCAGCACTTGGGAGGCAGAGGCAGAGGCAGGCAGGTGGATCTCTGTTGAGTTTGAGGCCAGCCTGGTCTACAGAGTGCCAGTATAGGCTTCAAAGATACACAGAGAAACCCTGTCTTGAAAAACAAAAAACAAACAAACAAAAAGGACACTTGTTCTTGCAGAGTACCCAGGTTCAAATGCCAGCAACCAACTATTTGTAATTCCATTTCAAGTACCAAGCACGCACATGGTACACATTTACGTGGGGGAGAAACACTAATACACATAATAATATTAGCAAACCCAATCTGGTAATGTATGAAAGATATACACCATAAGCAAGTGAAGCTTACCCTAGGTATGTTAAGTAGGTTTAAACTTAAAAACTGATATAATGAGCCGGGTGTTGGTGGTGCATGCCTTTATTCCCAGCACTCGGGAGGCAAAGGGAGGCAGATCTCTGAGTTCGAGGCCAGCCTGGTCTATAGAGCTAGTTCCAGAACAGGCTCCAAAACAATACAGAGAAACCCTGTCTCGGAAAAAACAACAACAAAAAAAGAAAAAAGAGAAAGTGCGAGCAAGCTCACCAAGGGATCTAATTAGTCTTGCAGAGGACCTAGGTTTGGTTCTCAGCATTCACACCAGACTCAAAACTGCCTTTTCCAAGGTCTTCTGGCATCTGTGGGCACTGGATGCACATAAACACACACAACTTAACAATACATATAAATAAAAATTATAAATGTGTGGGAGGCTGAGGTAGACACCACAAATTCAAAGCTGGCATGATCAACAGTGAAATACTGTTTCAAAATAAAGACACATTGACACAACTCTGACTAAACAATGACTAAACCTTTCTTGCAGAAGTTAATAAGAACCCTTACTGTTCTTGCTGAGGATGAGGATTGACTGCCAGCACCCTGATTCCTAGTACCCACACGGTAGTTTATAACCATCAGTAACACCTGTTCCAGAGGATGTGACATCCTCTTCTGACTTCCTATGGAGGCACATGACACACACAAAGAAAGGCAAACACTAATATACATAAACTAAAAATCTAAAAAAAAAAAATTTAATTACAGATATTAGTCATGGTGAGTAAAGGTGCATGGTACCAAGTCAGGTGACATTCAATCCCTGGAATCCATATGGTAGTAGAAAACGTATTCCTCCAAGGTGTATTTGTCCCCATGCACCACAGAAGACATGCACCTCACCCCCCCAAATATGCACCCCAAAACTGAAGTGGAGGTATAACATTTAGGTTAATGTTTTCCAGTCACTCAGAAGATGACAAATGTGAGGTTACTAACTTAGCTGCGTCCACTAAAAACAACACCCACTTACAGGCTGGAGACATGGCAATGTTGGCACAATGCTTGCCAAGAATGCACACAGGCCATCCTGGAACCAATATATCAAGAATGGTGGTACATGACTCATCCTAGTACTTACCAGTGGTTCTCAACCTTCCTAATGCTGGGACCCCATAAAACAATTCCTTATCTTATGGTGGCCCCCAACCATAAAATTACCCAGTTGCTACTTCATAACTAATTTTGCTAGTTGAGAACCACTGACTTAAACAGTGGAGGCAGGATGATCAGAAGTTCAAGGCCATCTTTGGCTAGTGAGGTTGAGGTCAGCCTGGGATACATGAGGCTTTGCCTCAAAACAATGAAATAAAATGAGAAAAGGACATAGTAATAATACAGGGTTGGAAAGACTTCTGCGGTTAAGAGCACTTAATGCTATTTCAGAGGACTGGAGGTTGAATCCCAGCACCCACAGGCAGCTCACAAGCACTTATAACTCCAGCAAGGAATCTGATACATCTTTCTCACCTATGTGAACATACACAGACAAAAATCTGTAAAGCATTGACACAGGCTCCCAAGGTTTTGCCAGCAGTTACCATTAGGAACTTATCAATGAGAGGGCCATTTTGTTCACTGGCGCCTTCATTAAGATGGTAACTTTAATGTGATAAATGCTTAACTAAAGGGCTTGTTACTGGGCTAAGTGATTATCAATCGAATACTTACACTGTTATAAACTGTGACACAATTGCCCAGAAACACCATTTCATTTGTTTTTAGCAATACAGTATATTCAATAGTTGATCTGATCTATCACATTAATTTGGTAGCAGATAATAAAACTCTTTTGTCTCAAAAAACAATGGGAAAGGAAGAAGTAAACTCATTTAATTTCTCTACATTGCCCAGAGGTCCTGCTCTTTCGTTTGTTTTGAAATAGGATTTGACTATTGCATCCTTGTCTGGCCTAAATTTAGAGATCTGGCTGCTTCTCTTTCCCAAGTGCTGGGATTAAAAGACACGCCACCAGGCCTGGCTGTGAACCTCCCCCTTGAAACAGCCCCATGGATGCAGGAGAGGACTGGAGGTTTGGTTCCCAGCATCCACATGATGGTTCACAATTGTCTGTAACTTCAGTTCCAGGAGATTCAATACTCTTTTCTGACCTCAGTGGGCACCCAGCACCTATGTAGTATACATACATATATGTTAGCAATAACACCCACTCACATAAAATTAAATAAGTAAAACAGTGCCTAAATCTTTCAGCTTGGTTTGGTATGTTTTTTAAGGCAGGCTATAATCTGTTCCAAGACAAAATCTGCACACTGGCCTGTGTAGCTGGCACATGAGGGAAATGGAAAATCCCACAATCCTAAAGCTGACTTATTGGCCCTCTACCACTGTTTTACAAATAAAATATCCTCCCACACACACAAAAGAGAGCTTCTGCTCTAGTTCTAATGGCAAAACTAGAGTGGGCAGCATATAAATTACTGAGACATACAAACAGCAACAGATACACACCACCTGGAGAAAAGGAAACCAGTCCTGCTTTTTGATAATTTTATTTTCTTCTAATTTTGTAATTTTAATTTCCCATAGCACCTTGGCAATGTTTAAAACAAATACAAATACAAAGATGTTCATTTTAACAGTTTATGCATGAGTATGTGCCACACCATTGTGGGGGGTAGTTTTGACAATAGGGACAAATCTAGGCTATGGACAAAACAGAAGCCAGATAACTGGTTCTGACATCCCACTCCCCCAACATTTAAGATACATCACTCAAGGGACACCTGAATCAGCTGAAGAAAAAAAAAAAAAAAAAAAAAAAAAAAAAAAAAAATATCGATGTGGATGTCTCTTTATATACTAATCAGGGTTCTGTGCTATAGAACTGAAAACAGAGTGAGTACTTGGCCCACAGCACAGATTTCTGAGCCACACCTTTAAGACTGCCTAGTTAGACATAACAAATTGTTAGTTTAAAGATAAACATTGAGTTATTTAGTAATCAGGTCACTTTTAAAAGAGAATTGAAAATGTCCTCATTCAGCTAATTAAAAAAAAAAAAAAAATGAAATGTCCATGCCATCTTCTTGAAAATTCAGACTAGCTACTTAGTATATGCCAAAGAGTCTTAAAGATAGATTAATACCCACCAAATTGTAAGGAAATATAAAAAATTAGAAAAAATCCATCATATATTATATTTATATATATTTACGTATTAAAAAAACCCTCAAAAGGAATATACTGTTTGATTTTTAATCTTTTCCATAAAAAGCCAGAATTGATACTCTTAAAATATGGTTAATATATATTGCCAACACAAACATCAGGAACTGAACCCCAGTGCTGTTCAACCATGTCAAAGTAAAACCAGCAAACATTTAAGCCAAGAGACTGGTTATTAAGGCCATACGTAACTAACAAAACTAGAGAAAGTGCTCCTAACTTTTAAATAATATTTTCTTGTTCTCTTTACCCTAAGTGAAAGATACTAGCTTACTTCCACCCCTAAGTCTTTGCAAAGCAAATTCTGGTTACTTAAAAAGAAAAAGGAATGTGAAATAATATTGAAGCTATCTTAACTTTAGGAACTAAAAATAAATTAAAATCCTCCATACCATTTGATTATATGCAAAATATGCAGGTAAGACAACAACAAACCCCTCATCATTGACAGGTCTCATCTCTCTCCAAAATACAGTTGGGTAAAAATTTAGATGGATCTCTATTTTAAATGCCATTGACTATATTTGGCAAAATTGAGATTGCTCAGATTAGAGACAGACATTTGATATTATCAAGACAGAAGATTCTGCCATGACCCTCTGCATACCTTCTCTATGAAGCACAAAGTGATGAACCTGTGTGACTTTTGCTCTTTTCATGCAAGAAGAATCATGATATTCAATTGTAGTATACATCCAATATCACTTTATCTACTTTTGGCCTTCAATAATGCAAGGAAATGTTAAGTTATAGGGTGAAGAGAAAACTTTGATATTTAAATTTCCCATCTAAAGAACCAATAAATAGCTGAAACACAATGAATACCAACCCAACTGGCTTAAATAGAAATGATGGGCAAAGGCCAGTTTTACACAAATCACAGGCATCATTTACACACAAAACCTAAATCTGCTCCAAGAAAATAACTGCCAAATACACACTGTGAATGTATGTATGTATGTATGTATTACACATTCTTCCATTACCCCCCAACATCGCATACACCCCCATCAAATGGGAGTTGTTTATAAGAACTGAGGAAAACTAAATTAAAAATCCTGTGTTTTGAAAAATTTCTACACTCAATATTTGGAGATAAAAAAAACCAATAATATACTTTTTCTTTTCTGTTAAGGAATTTTTTTTTGAATTTGAATGAACCTTTAGAAGTTGGGGGCATCGCTCAGTGCTGGGTACTTATGGGGCTTGTGCAAGGTTCTGGGTTCAAGGGTAACACAATGAAATAGCAATCTGTAGCATTTTAGAAATTAATGGCCTACCAGTAAATCACACAAGCTGACAAGAAATTGGAAACTACATCTGTGACACACTTAAACAGATTTTTTTTCCATTTTAAGTGCAAAAATAAAATTTATAATCTTTACCAAGTGATTTTTGCAAAATGTTTATTCTATTAATCCACTGCATTCATAGGGTGTTAACACTTTAAATGTTTATCATTTCTAAGTAAATGAGAATAAACACTTTTATCATAGATGTAGCTAACGATTATTAATACTTTTTAATGGATCTAAAGTTCTCCCAAATTTTAGTACAGGTAGTTTTATTGCATGTTTCATCTAGTAGATGATTAAAAAAAATAGTATGTAGAACTAATCATTTCCAACTGAGCAAATATATAATGTCACCAACCCACCAAACCAAAAGTGTTTGCCAAGCTGAATAAATTACAAAGAAATAATAATTCCTGGTTACACAAATCGTGCAGTTTTCAAAGCTCTTAAGAATTACCCACTAACACAAATCTCTGACACTTAAGAGTTGGAAGATCAGTTTCACAGTAATGTAATTTTAACTTCCATTTACATTCATTTTAAATATATTACTACGATGTTTATGTCACAATGGTGCTTTCCAGTGTCCACAATTTACAGTTTCAATTTGTACATACGTAACTCACTAACGTAAGGGACAGTTCTTACTACTGTTAACTATCCCTAAGCAGAAAAATAAACCACCACCCTACATACAACTATAAAAATGGTATGACTTCAAATAGATTAATGCAACATGGTTTTTCATATTTGAGCTGTTTTCTAAATACCAGTATGTAAACTTGCCTATTTAATATATGACAGCTATAATTTTCACTGAGAAATTATGCATTTATTTTCCTCAAACATTTTTCTCACTTTATCTCAAAAATTTCTTGACTTGCTGTTTTTAGTCAGTAAATCCCAAACTGTTTGGTGGGGAGGGGAAAAGATGACCAACACAGTAAAAAGAAAAAGAAGCCCCCTAAATTAATTCTTAAATTTTTTCTCTTTTATATCATTTTAAAAAGTTAGTTACATTACTTCATCTTTCTTTTTTGGAGACAGGGTCTCTCACTACTTAGTTCTTGATAGACTGTATCTCATGTAAACCAGGCAGGCCTAGAACTTAGATCCACCTGCCTTTGCCTCTGAAGCTGGGATTAAGATGTGTGTGCCACCTCAACTAGTAGCACTTTTCATTTTTAACACCAATACAAATAAATTAATGGCAGGCCAGTACTATCCTGGGACCTAAAATTCTAATTGCTTTGATAGAAGAAGAAATTTTTTCAATAATCCATTATAACATTAGGATATATAGGATATAGGTTAGATATATGATTTGATTAAATTGGTCTAGTAGTGAGAAACCACAGTCCAGAAAATGGTTTGTTATTTTGCTTCTGGAGGTGAAGAGTCAAAGAACAGAGACTAACAAGTAAAAAAAAAAAAAAAAAGTCTCCCATTTCAAAGAGGATAAAAAAAAAGTCACGGGGCAGTTTGAACCTCTGAAATCTATTTGACCTATCCAGTACTGAGGTCTAAAACAGAATTTCTCAATTTCTTTTGAATCATCTCTATCCTTTTTTTGTATATCAGACTGATTGGTAGTCACAGCTTCACACACAGTCAGAGCTTAATAGCTAGCTCAGTAAAATACAATATTAGTAATGTCAAAAAACAAACTAAATTCCAAACTACAAAAAAGATCTACTAAGTATTACATTCAGTTTTCAAATCATTTACTAACATGACAACAGATTTGGCTTCAATCACTTTGCACACACTCACACCCAGAACAGACACAACCCCCCCGCCACTGACCTGTTCTGCAACATAAGGACATTTGTCAGAGATGGCATTCTTCAAGCCAAACTTTAAATAGATTAAAAAAATTTCTAATTTTTACAGAAATGTTTCTTCAAAAAATATTTTCTCTCACTCCCTCGTCTCCTATACTGAAGGATGTATAATGTTTTTTGTTTTCTCTCCCAAGCTATATCTGAACCCTCAAAATTGATTCCAGGCAGAAATCCCTGCAAATTAAAATCAAAAACAAAAATAGAAAAATTATATTTATATATATATGTGTGTATATATATATATATATTTATATATATATTTATACTGATTGGAATCCTCCAGCATTTGAAAATCACTTAGAGATGAATTTTGGGCTCCTCTTAAAATTCCAAAATCCATAATATTTAAGGACACACTTCCCATCTTTCCTGGCTACTTCCTCCCTCCAAAACAGTTCAATATAGGCTCAAGTTTAGTGGGAAGAGAGAAGTTTCTGCGTAGTTTTTGTTATGTTTTGCTTTTACTTTGGTGATCTGGGTGGCACGAACTGCTCTTTCCCATTACGTCGAGTCACTCCCTGAGGTGTAGCCCTATGGCTAAACTGGCGTCTCTGTTCCCTGATTTTTCCAGCTGCTCCCCGGGGAATGTTATTGCCTCGGAAGCCAGAATGATCCTTACTAGCCCTTGTTTCTGGTTTCTCGTGTGTTTTTTCAACAGGCTTCTCAGGCGCTCCATTTTCTTCATTTCTGGTGGGAGATACAACATTGGATCGAAGTTCACGTAGCGGCTGTACAAGAACAGGAGATGGCTCTTTAGGAGGCTTCTGACATACTTCAGCATAACTTAACTTTCGAGGTTCCTATAAAAAGATTTAAAAAAAAATTATGGTGTATATTTCTCTGAAGAATAAAGTATTAGATTTAACCAGGACAGTAAAAGATTGTCTAGGAAAGTATGTACTCTCATAGTGTATAGTTAATGCCTTTGAATTTCTCTAAAAATGTTTACTATTTTTCAAGACAGGGTTTCTTCATGTAACAGTCCTGGCTGTCCTGAACTCAGCTTTGTAGACCAGGCTAGCCTCAAACTCAGAGATCCTACTGCCTCTGCCTCTTGAGTGCTGGAATTTAAGGCATGTGCTACCACTGCTGGGCTGCTATTGTGTATGATAGTTCCTATGTGGACTTTAGAGGACAATTTGTATGAGTTAGTTCTCTCTTTGCCACCATGTGGGTTTCAAGGATCAAATTCAGATTGTCAGGCCAGGCAGTGGTGGTGTACACCTTTGACACCAGCACTCTAGAGGCAGAAGCAGGCAGATCTCTGTGAGTTTGAAGCCAGCTTGGTCTATAGAGTGAGTTCCAAGGCAGCCAATGTTATAGAGAAACTCTATGCAGAAAAAAACAAAGTAAAGCAAAATCAGGTCATCAAAGTTTGGTGACAAGTGCCTTTTTTTTTTTTTTTAACCTGCTGAACTATCTCGCTAGCCTATTTACTTATTTACAATTACTATATGTTTATGATATGTGTATAAATGTCTCGGCATGTATGCGATCAGAATAAAAGCCTTTGAGAGTGGGATCTTTGTTTTTACCATGGGTAAAAACAAATCAGACCTACAGGATCTCAGGGCAATATTATATCCACAGAGCCATCTTGCCATCCTTCAATTTATGTTGACCCAATAATTTTGCTTTGATTTTTCAGAAGGATACCTTTGTCAACTGTCTACAATGATAAAGGATCAGAAATGACTATGACACAAATCTCTAACATTGAAAAACAGGTTACAATATGTATTTGTGTGTGTTGTATTTGCCTATATGTCTGCCTATGGAACCAGAGAATGCAGAGTATCTTCCTCTATTTCACTTACTCTTATTTCTAGAGTCAGCGTCTTACATTGAACCTGAAGCCAGAGAGCCCAAGGCCCGCCAGCACTAAGGCTCTAAAGTGTGGACTGCTAGCTTCTGTGGAGATGCTAGGAAACCGAAACTTAGATACTCATGTTTGCTCATAGAAAACTTTACCCACTAGGCTATCTTCCCAGCCCTGAAAAAGTAAATAGCTGATGAAATAAAATGATTCCATTGCTTTTTAAAAAAGATTTATATATATTTATGTGCATTGGTGTTTTCCCTACAATTATGTCTGTATGAGGGTGTCAGATAGCCTGGAACTGGAGTTACAGTTTGTGAGCTGCCACATGGGTGCTGGGAATTGAACCTGGTTCCTCTGGAAGAGCACCCAACCTCTGAGCCATCTCTCTAGCCCCCGATTCCACGGCTTTTACCATACAAAGCTTCTACGTTTTTCAGGTCTGTGTCTGGGCCCAGGGAGCTGCAAAGACCTCATGGGACATTACAGGACACTGAATCTGGCTGCAGGTTCCCATCCAGCCCTGGAAAGCACTGGTCACATCAGCTCCCATGGCTAACCATGTTGTAGCTTCCTAGTGCGTCCATGTCCCCCTCACAACTCCCTGCAGCAGCACTCACAGAACAGAAAGCAAAAACACTTCTCTGCTGACTCAGCTATAGAGCCAAGACTGCAGCCTGATACCCAGAGGAGACATGTACCACTTCTGATTGGCAGGCAGACTGGATGGCGAGGCACACACCTTCAATTCCAACTTGGGAGGCAAAGGAAAATGGATCTTTGAGCTTGAGGCCAGCCTGCTCTACACAGAGATTTCCAACACAGCCATAGCTACAAGGAGAGAGCCTGTCTGGCTCCCCCTCTACCCCCATACCCAAAAGAACGATGGGAGAAAAAGGGGCTACTACTCTAATATTGTTACTAAATTAAAGATGAAATATTCAACCTATTAAAGACAGCTGTGGTGATATATTATTTATGATTAAAGACAGATCTGTCAGTTCAAGGTCATACTGAGCTATAAGAAATATGATCTGTCAGTTCAAGGTCATACTGAGCTATAAGAAATATACCCAGTTCTAAAGAGAAACAGCTCACAGTACTTGGAATCACAGGCCTTTAATCCCAGCATTAGGGAGGCATATAAGACAGGAGCAAGGTCTCGGATCAGGCATTCATTCTCCTGCCACACTGAAGACAGAAAGACAATGAAGTCTCATGATCGCCTTTCAGTCTGAGGTAGAGTGAGAGCTAGTGCCTGGATGCTTTGCTTTTCTGATCTTCAGCTTGAAACCAGAACCCAGCATCAGTCTCTGGGTAATTTATTTATCACGCTACAGATAGCTGCTCTAAAATGCTTTTAGTTTTATCACTTAAAAAGAATTGCAGATGGTGTATTTACTTACCATCATATATTTCTTCAAATTATGAAATGACTCTACAACTTGAATGAATATAAGTGATAATAACCACACAAAGGGGTTTCAAAGACATAAATATCATATACACAATGAAAAGAATTTTAGTTATTGTACTTTTGTTTGGCAAATTAAAAGAATTAAAAAAAAAAAGTAGAATGGGAAGTATTTGGGAGAGAGAATAGTGAGGAGAGGCAGGCAAGAGAAGGTAATGGGTCTGTGTTGTTGAAAATGACAGAAATTATATTCATGTTTAAAGTATCACAATGAAACACACTATTGTACATATGCTAATATATTTGTAGAATATACTAATAAAAATAGTAAAAGAGGAAGGTGGGCGTTGGCGGTGCACACCTTTAAATCCCGCCCCCAGGAGGCAGAAGCAGGTGTATTTCTCAGAGTTCGAGGCCAGCCTGGTCTACAGAGCTAGTTTCTAGACAGAGAAACCCTGTCTCAACCCCCCCCCCAAAAAATAAATAGTAAAAGAGAATATTAAGGAGGTTGATGTCTCTAATTCCATCCTTAAAATGATAAATTCATCATAATTCCCTAAGTAACTTCCTTTAACTGTAACACAGACAGATAAAATAATGACTTAAAACTTTTTAGGGGGCAAGGGGCCCAGAATCTCACTCTATAGCCCAGGCTAGTATCAAAATCACTCTGTAGTAATGGCTATCTTTGATTTCATGGAGATCCTCCTGCTTCAGCCTTCAGAGGGATAAAATTTCAGTCATGAAACATTATGTCTGACCTCCCTTTTGTAATACATGCAGTCCTAATTTGGAATACTCCCAACTAGCTCTGCTCTAGCAATGTGTTATGTGAAAAACTAGTTTTATAGTTCTGTGCACAGCCTTGTCTGTCCTGGACCAGGATGGCATTAAACTCAGAGTCAGAGATCCTTCTCTCTCTGTGGGATTAAAGGCATGTGCAACCATTGCCAGGTTGTTTAAAATTCTTTTAAATTACACATACCTGTGTGTGGTGTGGTGTGTGTGTGTGTGTGTGTGAGAGAGAGAGGGGGGGGGGGAAGGATAAACATGGACCATGATGGGTGTAGGGTGATTAGAGGACAACTACAACTTTTGGAGGTTGGTTGTCTTCTATACCAAGTGAGTTCCGAACATTAAGCTCAGGACAACATAGCATCAGGCACATTTACTCACTAAGCCATCTTGCTATATCTGAGAAATATACTGTATTTTTTTCCTCATATAAACTCTTCAAATTACCTGTAGACTCACAGCTGTGGGTGTGGTTACATTACTATTGCAAGGTGAAGCTGTGTCTGCCCTTGATGGCTTTGCAGTAGCTGGAGAAGAAACTGGTACAGTTATCTGGTTGATAACATCCTTTGGAAGCGAGGAATCCTCCATTTGATCCTTCTCTTGCTGAGTTGTGCTTTAAAAAAAAAAAAGTTTGATATTAGGCTTAGTTCAACACAAAGAAGCAGCTAAGCTACTGCTGAAAACTTTTTGTGGGGGAGTGAGGGTGGGGAGTCAGTTTCTTTGAGTGAGTATCCAAAATCCAGTAATAGCCCTACCCCATATCCCTATCAATAGTACTAGACTCAATAGGTTATTAAAAGAAAAAAAAAAAAAAAAGAGTTGGAAAAGAGAAAAATGGGGGGGAATCAAATCATAAATGAGACCCTCAAAATAATAAATATAAAATATATTAGAAAAGAAGTGCCCAGTTTTTGTTTTATCTAATTTTTTAATTATTTATGTTTGGTTTTCTGAGACAGGGTCTTTACTATGTAGGAGGATCATGGAACTCCTATGTAGACAGGCTAGCCTTGAACTCAGAAACCTACCTGACTCCACCTTCCAAATTTTGGGATTAAAGGTGTGTGCTGCCACATCTGGTTTATTTAGATGTATTTAATTTTTTAATTATTATTTTATGTGTATGTTGCTTCGCCTGCATGTATGTTTTGTACCACATGTGTGCCGCCCACAAGGTCAGAAGAATGCATCAGATCCTCTTTAAACTAGAGTTACAGATGGTTTTGAGGAATGAATGTGTGCTGTAAATTGAACTCAGGTCCTCTGAAAGAGCAACAAGTGTTCTTAACTGATAAGCAAGCTCTCTAGCCAAGGATTTGTTTTTTTAATTATGTGGATGCTTGTGTGCACCTATATGTACACATAGAGTGCAGGTACTCTCAGAATCCAAAAGAGGTTACTGAATTCCTTAAAGCTGGAGCTGCAGACAATTGTGCACTGCCTGACATAGGTGCTTGGAAACCAAACTTTTTTTTTTTGCAAGGTAAGAATGTGCTCTTAACTCCTGAGTGATCTCACTAGCTCCACCCTCAAGCCCCCAAGAAGGGGTCTCCATGTGTAGTCAAGGCTGGACTCAAATTTGTAATGCTCTTTTCTCAGCATCCCAAGGGCTGAGATTAGAGCAATGAACTACCATTTTCAGAATAAGTTGTTTAATGTTGAAGTTCTCTTATTGTGACAAAGAGGAAAAGAACCTTAATGCTGGAAGCTCAGCTGTGCATGGAGGACTGGGACTTAAGCTGAGTTGCTGGGCAGACGCACAATCTGTCTGTTCATCCTCTGCAGGCACTGCACAACTAACTCTCACATCTTCATTGTCCTGAAAGTTGAAAGAAGAGAGCTTGAAATTACATTTGGACTTTTTGAAAAAGAAGATAAACAACTGTCCAACAAGTGCTGAAAGTATGCCCAATTATCATCCCACCAGAAATGAGACTGCTTTATACTAGAGTTCTCACTGCTGGGAGGTAAATTAGGGAGGTCACTTCAGCCCAGCCTTTAGCAAAATAAGATGACTCTATAATTAGGTAATAAAAATTAAAAAGAAACTAAGAAGAGTAACGAATATGGCAATATTGGATATAGTAGTGTTTGCATATAATCCTAACACATGAAAGATAGACAGGAAAATCAGGAATTCTGGGTCACTCCTGGATATATGATATATAGTAAGGTTGAAGGCAACCTGGACTGCATGACACCCAATACCAATAAAACAAAGGAAAACCATTAAAATGGAAATGTCATTTTTAACAGATGTGTAACTGATAGAGGATTAGTATCCAGAACACATAAATACAATTTTGTAAGAAGATAACCTAATTTAAAAAAAAAATGACAAACACTGGAAACTCTTTAAGAAAGAGAAGAGAGAGGAGAGAGTGTCCCGTGAATGAGCAATTCCCAGAAATGGGAAGTTTCTGTTCACAGTGATCTGAATATTCATTCATTGCAGCACAGTGCCACAAAGCTCAAATTTCTGCAATTTCGGGAGGTATATCCCTGGCTGGGAGTGGTGGTACACTCCTTTAATATCAGCACTTGGGAAGGAGAGACAGGTGGTGTTCTGAGTTTGAGGCCTATCTGGTCTACATGGAGTGTTCCAGGATAGCTAGGGATCTGTAGAGAGACCCTCTATCAAAAACCAGGAAAAAAGTAAAGAATGGTATGCCCTATAACAGAATATGACAAAATGGTGCAGAATGAAATACAGCCATCTATATAACATTACTGAACCTGAATCTATACACAAAGAAGAAATAGCAATGTTCAAACAGATACACTAAGCTGGATTTGGTGGCATCACTTAGAACCCTAGCACCAAAGAGCTGAGGCAGGTGCACTGGGAATAATGAGGCTGATCTAGGCTTTATGGTGAACTGCTAACTAAAAAAAAAAAAAAAAAAACCCAAGCCAATTAAACAATAAACATAAACTAAAAGCAAACAAAAAGCCATGTGGTGATATATTGTTTATGATTTAATAAAGCCACTGAAGCTCAAAATAGCAAAGCAGTCATACTAGTTAGCTATAGAAGCTAGGTGGTAGTGGTACACATCTTTAATCCCAGGACTCAGGATTCCTAAAATGTAGCTGGATCTCTGTTAGTTCAAGCCACACTGAGCTATACAAATTGATCTAGCCCTAAAGAGAAACAGCTCACACAAAGATCTCAGCACTTGGGATCACACGCCTTTAATCCTAGCATTAGAAGTAGGAAAAGCAGAGTTTCATGTGAAGCAATTAGTCTCTAGCCACACTGAGGAGAGCATAGCAGTCTGAATGAATCTGAGGAGGAGCAGTGAAGTTGGGAGCAGTCTGAGGATCCCCCCTGAGGTAGAGGTAAGAGCTAGTGGCTGGCTGCTTTGTTTTTCTCATCTTTAGTTTGAACCCCAATACCAGTCTCTGGGTCTTCTATTTTTCATGTTACAAAGACAGGCACACAAAAACCACACATATTAAACTATATTGTTTAAGGAGCAACTGGCAAACTAAGTTGCAGAGATCAGCCTGAGACCCCTCAGTTGGTAACGTCCTTGTGGTAGAAGCATGAAGACCACACTTGACCACTAGCACTCACATAAAAAGCTGAGTGTGGTAGTGTGTTTTAGTAAACCTGGCATTGGGAAGGTAGACACAGGACATCCCTGGGGCTCACAGGCCAGACAGCTTGCAAGTTCCAGTACAATAGAGGCTCATCTCAAAAATAAAGTGGACCACATTGCTAAGAAATGATCCTCTGGCATGTGCAAATGTAGTCAACCACATGCAACTCCACTGTAATATCCACTACCCCACCTCGTTAATATACAAATTAGAAAACAAAATAAACTATCTGGCAGAATTTGGCCCACAGGCTTTAAATATTTACTATTTGGATCTTTAAAGGAAATCTTCATCAACTCAGCGATAAAAGAAAAGCAAGAAAATTATCACTACAAAATCAAACTAATGCTTTTATGTAAGATGACAGAGGAAGAAGAGTAAATAATGAGGGAATGTATATGTTGCTGCTAAAATACTAAGGGTGTTTACAACCCACACTTGTAGAATGGGATTATGGAGAGAAGTAAACATCATCATCACCATCATCATCATCATTATTATTTAAAATATATATATATACCAGCTGTGATTGCAAAGGCCTGCAATCTCAGCACATGAAAGGTGGGGTCAGCCTGCAGTAAATGGCTAGTTTATGTGCCGCTTAAACCATGACTGGCTCAAATTTTAAAAGTCTAATTTGATTATAAAGTACAAAAAATATATATTTCAGAACTGTTCAAACAACTACATTGTTTTCATATATACACACATATATACATATACATACACATATGCATACACATGTATATATATTTTTTGAGATAGGGTTTCTCTGTGTTTTTTTTGGCTGTCCTGGCAATCTGTCTGTAGACCAGGCAGGCTTCAACTTCAAACTCAGAGATCCTACCTGTCTCTGCCTCCCAAGTGCTGGGATTAAAGGCATATATGACACCACTGCCTAGCAGCCCAATATATCTTTTAAAGATGCATTTATATTATTTTTAAAATTATGTGTATTTGTGTGTTGGTACTGCATGTGAGGTGGCCTCAGAGGTCTAAAGTATTAGATTCCCCTGGAGATGAAGTTACAAGTTGTGAGCCACCATATGCTGGTGCTGGGAGCCAAACTCAGGTCCACTGCAAAGTCGAGGAACTCAACCATTATCTCTCCAGCTCCATTTTTAACAATATCAGGAAACAGTGAAATATCTTTAAAATTCTAAGGGAAAATTATTTCTGTCTGAGAACTATACCCAGAGAAAAACTGATCAAATGTGAAAGAAAAACACTTTTAGATAGAAAATGTATATATAATCCTCTTTCCTTTCTGAACTGTTTGGACCTTCTTAGCTTAATCACTCCTCTTTTTACCCTTCTTCTCCTTTTGCCATTCTTTATTTCTTCCCTCTTCTATTATCAATTAATGGTTCTTCAAGATAGGGTTTTTCTGTGTAGCTCTGGCTGTCCTTAAACTCAGAGATCTGACTCCCAAGTGCTGGGACTAAGGGAGTGGGGCCACCAAAAGTTGGCTAACTTATTTTTAATCCTTTTTATTTTATGCGCATGGAATACCACTACTACGCCTCCCTTTCTTACCACTGGTAGTATTTGCCCTCTTGGGCTCCATTTTTCTTTTATTCTCTTTCCATCTCCATCTTTTCTTTCCTAATTACTTCCATCCCTTCCCTCCTGACTACTGCTCTGCCCTCACCCTTCCTCTTTGGCTAAAAAGATAAAATCTGAAAGGAAGGAAGAGGAAATTTACATTTCAGGCTTACAATCCCAGTACTCAGGTGGGTGGGGAAAAGGATTACCGTTCTAGGTCAGCTGGGCTGGTTCTACACAGCAAGTTCCAGGTCATAGCTGTTAGTCAGTCAGTCAGGAGTATACAAAAACAAGTTGCCTAAAAAGCCAAAAAAAAAGGCTAGGGGGAGGGTATAATGTGTAAAGGAATTACCATGCAGGCCTGACAACTTGAATGTAACTCCTCAGAACCCACACAAAAGCTGGCTGCAGTACTGTGCACACAAATGAATCACTGTGGAAATGGGATGGACATAAGTAACTGCAGTAGTGAACAAGAGAGACCACTTCAAACAAAGTGGAATGAGAAGTCTGACATCCAAAGTTGTCATCTAGGGTGTTTTCTGTTTGTTTGTGTCTGTCTCTTTCTCTCTCTCCCCACTCCCCGCGCCACACACACACACACACACACACACACACACACACACACAGTTGCATGTACGTCTCCAACCCCAAAGCCAAGGTGGGAGACAACAGGGTAGGGAAAGTAAACTGTGATGAAGGAAATGAAGTCTTATCAGCCTTGAATGTAGGTCACTGACTGTACACAGGCAAACCAAACAACAAACCTGATGCTAGCTACCACAACCACCAAAGAAACTAACCACACTATAAAATGAGTCTCAAACACCTGAGAAGTGGCTTGTAAATAGTGTCATATTCTTAGGCTACCTGGCAATCTCTTTTACTTGGTGTATCTTATCACCAGTGACAACCCTACCCACAGCATGTGAATTAGAAATACAGAATTAAAAAGGGGAAAAATAAAGCTTAACCCAAAAGTAGTTTTAGGGACTGCTACTCTGCATTTTAGACGTATTACATCTATGTACTACTATAATTAAAACCAAATTAGGGCTAGGGAGACGTCTAAGTGGGTATAACTTGCTCAATGCACAACGCTGACAATCTCAGCTGACCCCTAGAACACATGGCAGGAGAGAATTCACTCAAAAAAAAAAAAAAAAAAAAAAAAAAGTATAAAACAAGAAAAATGTGCGAAACCTGTTGATTCCAGATATGAAGAGAGGCCCCCACACTCAAAAACAGTGTCAACCATGGTATCACATGCCAACAATGACAATCCCAACACTTGGACAGCTGGGGTAGGAGAAGGGAAAATGCCAGTCTGGGCTGTGTAGCAGGACTCCTCCAAAAAGCAGACATATTATCACACTGGTTGGCATCTACTTAGAAAGTTAGCCTAGAATTCATTCCATCACTAGTTAAATATAGGCTATTTTTGGAAATAGCACCTCTTCTCTTATTAATCTAAGCTACCAAATGAAACTGACTGACACAAAAACCAAGGAATACTTTCCTTGACTTTGGAGTTTTATTAGACATCTTTTTAAAACTCTCACAATGTGGTGAAAACTATAAAACTTGAAATTATGAAATACTTGAATGCAAATAAGAATTTAGATAATAGCTCCAATACACTTAAATATAATCTCATAAACTAAAAGAGCAGATGGGACACTTCGGTGTTTACCTTTTCTTTGTAGACACCTTTAACGACATCAGACATTCTATTCTCCAACACAAGTTCATCTGGCATTCTTGATGAACTTCCAGGTAAAGGTGGAAAATTTGTAGCTAGTAAGTCAAACTTTGGTGTCGAAGCCTTCGCTTCAGTTGTTGAAGGCTGGGGTCTCTACAAAAACAAACCATTAAACAAGTCACGTGACTAATGCTTTCTATCCCTGCTCCAGAGGCTGCAAGAAAAACAAAGGATACAGAGTCGCGTCCTTATACTTCCCTATTCCCCATCTCAGTCCTAGCTCCTGTTCTGTTTTCTTTAGTATTTATTTACTTTTCTTTTTTTAGTTTTTGAGATTGGATTTTTCTGTGTAGCTCTGGCTGTCCTGGAACTCACTATGCAGACCAGACTAGCCTCAAACTAGGAGATCCACCTGCCTTAGCCTCCCAAGTTCTGGGATTAAAGCTGTGTGTCACCACTGCAAAGCCCTAATGTTTTCATTTGAAAACTCTGCTACTAAAGGCCTGTGCCACTACTGCCCAGTCACACCAATGTTTTTTATGACAAAAATTTGAATAGGCTCTACCCTCAAACATCACTATAGTATTTGACATGATAGCCATTGCCTCCTTTGGGGGTGCCCCTGGCCCTGAATATGGAGCTGCGCCAGTAGTACAAGAGGGCTCATGCTTTCCTGGTCTCTGTTGTATCTTTCTCTTGGCTCTTATCTAATCTGACAGTAACAATCTTCACCTAACTACTATAAATTTGGTAAACTACATTCTGTCTACTCTTTTCACAGTCCATCTTCTCTTGTTACTATGTTCTTCAAGGCATCAACTACTATTTCCATGTAAGCTAGTACTAAACACTACTGTATACTTTTTGATGGTCACCAATGACCAATTAATTGTTCACATGCACAGGCACCCATGCACACATACACACAAACACACTCACTCTCTCCAAATCATCCAAAATACACAATAATAAATATTTTTATTTCAGGCATTTAGTGGAAAATCAGAAATCCAGATTTCATTTTGGGTGCGTACTTCAAATACACTGAATAATCTCAATTTTCAGTCCAAAGATCCTATTGTGACATGTAACATTTCACTTTTCGCTCTTCAGAGTTACCCTGTACATTGTCATCTGATTCTATAACTTCAATCCCTCCACGTAAACTTGCTTCTTCAGTTTTACCACTATTTCACTCTGGCAATAAAGACTCTTCTACTCTGCCTGTTGGATGGTGAAGTCTAACTCTATTTCTTACAAGCCAACTTGTAGCCTTTGATGCAATGCTGTCATTTCTAATGTATTATATCCCAAATCCATCTTATTTTCCACTCCATTTACTTTTTATTTATTTATTTTATAGACAAGGTCATACTATGTAGATCAGGGTGGCCTGAAGCACTGGCTCCCTTGCTTTTTTTTTCTCCTCAATCTTTGAAGACTTCTTGAGGAACTACAATGATTGCTACAACTGACATGTTAAACATCTAGTCAGGGCATATGTAGTTTAAATCGGTATGGTCCACAGGAACTGGCACTATTTACTAGGAGGTGTGGTCTTGTCAGGGGAAGTGTGTCACTGTGGGTGTGGAACACAGTTCCTTCTGTTGCCTGTGGATCATCATGTAGAACTCTCAGCCTCTTCTCCAGCACCATGTCTGTCTGCATGTGCCATATCCCCCCAAGATGACAATGGGCTAAAGCCCTGAAACTGTAAAACAGTCCCAACTAAATATTTTTCTTTATAAAATTTGCTGTGATCATGACGATGCTTTATAGCAGCAGAAACCCTAACCAAGACAAGGCCTAAAGCTTCATGGCTGCCCATAAGGAAAGTCATAAATAAAAACAGTATTATTCCCGCCTAAGCATACACAAAGCTTGTATTTGCTCCTTAGCAAGTTAAAAATAATGTATAGTAATGTATACCTGTGACCCAACACCTGGGAGGCAGAAAGATCATATGTTCAAGGTCATTCTAAGCCATGTCATCAATTCAGCCCATTCTGGGATACATGAGAAGCTTTCTTTAAATATTTAGTGTTACACACTTACCTATTCAAGCGAGGAAAGTAAAAATTTCAATATGTATGTTTTGTTTTTATATCAGGATGCCTAGTAGTTAGGCTGACCCTGAGCTTATATCCAAAGATGACCTTGAACTCCTGATCCTACCATGATACTATTACTTGAAACTACCATTCCTTATTTATAAAAGATTCCCCCCTCCCTCCCCATACTGGATTTCTCTATGTAATCCTTACTGTCCTGGAACTTGCTCTATGGCCCAGGCTGGCCTCAAACTCACAGAGACCCCACCTGCCTCTGCCTTCTGAGTGCTGGGATTAAAGGTACGTACTACCACCACCTGGCCAGATTTTCTTAATCTATACTTTAAAAAAATTTTATTGTATATATTTGTCTATGTGTAGGCATGTGCACATGAAGGCGGGTGTCTGTTGTATTCAGATTCCCTGAAGCTTCAGTCTCATGTAGTTCCGACCTGCCTGATATGAGTGAGTGCTGGGAAATGAACTCCCGACCTAGGGAGGAGCAGTACATACTCTTAACCACTGAGACATTTGTCTAGCTCCTGTAAATCAATCAATAAATAAATAAATAAATTAGCTACAGGGTGAGTGATGTGGCTCGGTGGATAATAGCACTTGCCAGAAAAGCTTGACAACCTGAGCTCAAGCCCTAGAAGCCACAGTAGAAGAGAACTACTACCAAAAGCTGCCCTCTGCACGAATTCAAGTTTCTGACATCTATAGATCTTTGAGAATGAATGCAACAACCCCAAAGACTGGCAAAAACAAAGTAAATATTATAAAACCAAAAGATAAAACAGGAACTTTCATTGTCTATGGAACTGGAAAGTGGAATCACCCCTAAAGAAAGCTATTTGGTAACATTTACTGAATTATATTTATATATTTGAAAATCTCAATGGTAGTAATCTGTGATAGTTACTAATAAAAGGGTTGGTTACTAATAAAAGGGTGTTCAATCCTTTGGAACTAGATTATGGACAGTTAAGAATTAGCATAGGTGCTGGGAACGAAACCCAAGCTCTCTGGATGAATAGCAAGTGCTCTTAATCACTGAGCCACTTCCCCAGTCTGCTCATTTTCGGTTCTTGTTTGAGACAGGGTCTCATTTTGCATCTCCAACTGTCCCGGAACTCAAGAGATTCACTTGCCTCTGCCTCTTAAGTGCTAGGATTAAAGATGCGTGCCTTGACATAACCTAGAAGCCTCAATGAGAATTTGACTACATCAGGTTGCTTTAAGTGATGTGGAAGGATCCACCTTAAATGTGGGCAATACCTCCTACTACTGTACAAGACAAAAGGACATGGAAGAAGGAAAAATTTTCAATTACTTGGACTGTAGCATGATAAATGAAAGACCTAGAGACTGATATTGGGATATTGGGGTTCAAGCTTCAAGCTGAAGGTCAGAGAAGCAAAGCAGCCAAGCCAGTAACTCTTACCTCTACCTCAGGCTGAAAGAGCTGATCCACGAGCTCTCCCAAACTTCAGACTGCTGCCTCTCTTCAGTGTGACTGGAGAGAATCCTGAGACCAAGCCTACTGAAGACCCTGCTCCTATCTTTTATACCTCTCTAGTGCCAGGATTAAAGGTGTGTGATACCAAGTGCTGAGATCATCTTTGTGTGAGATGTTTCTCTTAGCACTGGATCAATTATGTGTAGTCAGTGTGGCCTTGAACTAACAGAGACCTGCCTACCTCTTAATCCTAAATCCTGGGGTTAAAAATGTGTGCCACTCTACCTGGCTTGTATGGCTTGTGGCTGACTTAGCTTTCTGCATCCTCAGGCAAGCTTTAATAAATCAGAAATAATATACCACCACACTTGGACTTCATTCAATAATGAGCTCATCTACCTTGCTGATGCTGCTGTCTCTTTAGCTATGAGAACTGGCATGTTTGGGCTTCTAATTCCAAGTGAAGACCAACAGCTCTCCAGCAAACCTCCAAGCTCTCAATGGCAGATTTGGACTGCTGAGGCACTCAGTCTCTCATACTCAACTGGGCTCTTGGTCTCTCCAACCGTATTGCATCAATTCTGTCCTTTTAGAGAGCTCTGACTAGTACAGTCCTCCTTTATCTATGTCCAGACACAGAGAATGACCACTACCAAGGTTATGCTTTGATCTAAAATATCCCCATAGAACCATGTGGTTTAATACCTAGTCACTCTGATGGTATCGTGTGATTGTGAGGACTGGCTGCCTGAAGTAGATCATTTGAAGGTAGATATTTGAAGGCTATAGCCCAGCTCTACTTTTTTAAAACTTGGCTCTCTGGCTAGACAGGTGTTGGTGGTGCATGCCTTTAATCCCAGCACTCAGGAGGCAGAGGCAGGCAGATCTCTGTGAGTTCGAGGCCAGCCTGGTCTACAGAGCTAGTTCTGGGACAGGCTCAAAAGCAATACAGAGAAAAACCTGTCTCAGAAAAAGCAACAACAAAATTGGCTCTCTGGAACTTGCTATGTAGCCCAGGCTGGCCTTAAAACTGTGAAGATCCACCTGCCTCTGCCCTTTGAGTCTTGGAATTTATTAAAGGTGTGCACCAGTACTATTTCTTTTTAAAAATAATTTTCATAATTTTTTGTGTATGGGTATTTTGGCTAGATGCTTGTCCACATGTGTGCTTGGTGACCATGGAGACCAGAAGAAGGCATTAGGTCCTTGGGCTCTAGAGCTGCAGACAGCTGGGAGATGAAGTGTGGATGAGGGAACCCAAATAAGGTTCTACAAAGAGCAGCAAATACTCTTAACTGCTGGGCCATCTTGACAGCTCCAGGCTCTACTTTAGTCATATGACCTCAACTTCTTGGTGAGCCAAGATGTGGAGCCATGTCACCTTCCTTAGCTTCCCTACCACAGAGTATGTTCTATAAAATCATGAACCAAACAAAATAAACCTCTCCACCTATAAACTACTTCTGTCAGATACTCAGTCATGATGAAACTAAGTAAAATTAATTGAGGTTATCAATGCATTACTTATATGAGTGCTATGTATGAGCAAAAACAGTTGTAGCAAGCTTTCTTAATGTAGCAGATATTCTTGGATCACCAGCCCCTATATCATGACATGAACACTTATTATTATGAATGCTCAGCCTTATGCTTGTCTTAGCTCTCAATTTAACCTGTTTCTCTTGATCTACATTTTGCCTCAGGGCTTCAATCTTTCTTTCATTCTGTATGTCCTATATTTCCTGCTTCTTCCAGTTTTGGTCCTGGGTGTCTCCACCTCTTTCTCCCTTGTTATATCTTTCCTTGAGCTAAGATTCTTCCTCCTATTTGTTCTCTTTTCAGCCAGCCCCACCTATCCCTATACTGCCTAGCTACTGGCCATTTAGCATTTTATTAGACCAGTCAGATGCCTTAGGTAGGCAAAGCAACACATCTTTACATAATTTTAAAAAAAAAAGTAGCATCATAAACAAATGTAACATTATCTTTACACAGCTTAAGTAACATTCTACAATAGACAGTAACTGGGCATGGCATTGTATACCAATAATCCTAATATTTGGGAGGATGAAGCAGTAGGGTTGAGTTTGAAGCCATTATGGGTTATACAGTGAGTCAGTGTCTAAACACAAAGATCAAATAACAATGATGTAATAAACTTTCAAACTTAATTACCTCTCCCTCTTCCTTTTAAAGACAGAGTCTCACTTTGTATCCCTGGCTGGCCTAGAACTTACTATGTAGACCAAGCTAATAGGAACTGCCTGCACTGGGAGCTGGAATAAAAGGCAAGCATCATACCTGGATCAGATCTATTTTAAGCAACTTGAATATGCTAGATATAAAATATTACCAATACAACCTCAAGTATTTAACTAAGCACTAGAGGGTGAATATACAAATGACTTTCATTCAGGTCAACATCAGGCTCAATTATTTTTGTTTGAATAATCACCAAAATAAAGCCAGAAAGGAAACACAGACTAAAAGGAAAAATGCTTCTGAAGGTAAAAGGTGAAAATACTTACTGTGATCCTGTCATCCTCTCTTCGTCTTCGACCTCTGAAAAGAGTTCTCCTTTTAACAAAGGGGAAGAACACATAAAAATTTTGAAAGATACATACTTATTTCCTCTCGAAGATTCCTACTTTAAAAATCCAAATTTTCAAAATAGGTGCTATTCCTCCATTATTATTAAGGAATTTAGCAAATTCTTTTGAAGAGACCTTGAGCTAATCCACAAAAAAAAAATTTTACTAACTACCTCCACCATAAAGCTAGCTGGATCTATTTCAAATAAGTAACACATTTTCCACATTAGAAGCATTTTTAAAAAAGATTATTTATTTATTATATATACAGTGTTCTGCCTGCATATATACCTATATGCTGGAAGAAGGCACCAGATATCATTACAGATGGTTGTGAGCTACCATGTGATTACTGGGAATAAAACTCAGTACATCTAGAAGAGCAGTCAGTGCTCTTAACCTCTGACCCATCTCTCCAGTCCCCACCAGAAGCATTTTAAAGTAAAATTGGAGCATAGTAGACAAAATAGAACTCCACTCTTACAGTTAATAAGAAGAAATTGAAACTAGAAGGCAGGGTCAGGCACAGAGTTGCACACTTTTAATCCCAATCCTTTTAGAAAGCAGAGGCAGGTCAATCTCTCAGAGTTTTTCAGGCAGCTTAGTTTTTTTTATGGCAAGTTCCAGGTGAGGCCCAAATTCCTAGCACTGCAAAACCCCCAGCTCAAACTAAAACTAAACCTTCTCAAAGTCTATTAACCTATAAGTACAATGAATTCATTTAATATAATCATATACCTATAATTAAAACAAAAATCACCAGATAGTTTTCAACATTAAAGATGAGCATGTTACTATTAAGTAATTTTTATATGCCGTATTTCCTTACCTGCCTCTACCAAAGTCCCCATTCTGATCCATCTGTAAAATGGGAGCCTCCTTTGAAAGGTAAGTTTGTTCTTGATTCCCTGTTACTGTAGGATTATGCCGTTCAGAGAGAAAGTTCCTTGAACTAGATCTGCTCAGTGGTCCATCCCCCAATGACACAGAGCCCTCTGTTGAGTGTTCTGAACCACTGGATGACCTAAAGTGAGGCTTCACACTAAAACAAACAAATAAACACACTAAATCAAGAAATTGCTACCCATCTTATAGAATATTTTTAAGTATAGGCAAAAGAATTTCCATTTCCACCAAGACTGGTGGAAAAAAATCTGAAGTTTTAAATGAAGCCACTTCTTCCTCAATACTGAAAACAAATGCCAAGCCTGGTGGTGCACACCTTTAATCCCAGCACTAAGGAGACAGTGGTAGAGGATCTTCATATATTTGAGTTCAGCCTAGTCTACATAGGGAGTTCTAGGACTGACAGAGTTACAATAGAGAAATGGTCTCAAGAACCAGCAACAAAGCCACACTTAAGATTTTACTGGTATCTAAAAAGAAAAACAAAAACAACAAACCAAAGATACTAGACTTTATATTTACTAACAAGAGCAATCAGGTATCTGAGAAGGGTAAAATCACCAACAGAAATAAGAAAAAACTCACTCTTATATGGGGTGACTAAAAACATCATATTTGTTTTTATGTATTTGTATCACACACATAAGAAAACAATATTTATTAAGATTAGGAGAAAATACCAAGTTCCGTTAAAAAAAAACAGAGCTAGAAAACTAGCTCCAAACAAACAACTACAAAACAAAACCCAACTAACCACAGGGCAGTGGTGGCACACAACTTTAATCCCAGCACTCAGGAGGCAAAGGCAGGTGGATCTCTGAGTTTGAGGCCATAGTGCCTGATCTACAAATCGAGCTACAGCCAGAGCTACACTGTAAGACCCTGTCCTTGGGGATATAATAAATACATACATACATACATACATACATACACACACACACACACACACACACACACACACACACACACACACACAGAGTATTATTTTTTTTGTTTGTTTTTGGTTTCTCTCTGTGGCTTTGGAGGCTGTCCTGGAACTAGCTCTGGTAGACCAGGCTGGTCTCGAACTCACAGAGATCTGCCTGCCTCTGACTCCTGAGTGCTGGGATTAAAGGTGTGTGCCACCACAGCCCAGTCTATGTAAGGAACTTGCTTCAACAGCAAAAAAAGGAAGTATGAGATTTATAATTGGCAGTTTGTATGCCCATTTCTTATAACCTGTTTCTACAGATACAAATTTATACTATTATTTCTTGACTTTTTAAACAGATTTAAAACACTTCAAATAATTAAAATGTAAACAGGTATTAATTCAAAAGACTTTTCCAACCAAACCAAAAATCGTAACTCACTCCCACACTCACTCCTCAGCCATTATAAAAAGCTAGGTTAAAATTTTTGTAAAAGTCAGTCTAAAATGATGCTTTAAAAAAAAAAAAAAAAAAAAGTCTGAGGCCAGCCTGGTCTACAAGGTTAGTTCCAGGATAGTCAGGGCTACAGGAAAACCCTGTCTCCAAAAAAAAAAAAAAAGTATCTATTTTTTCCTGAAAATAACTTGGTAAAATAAATTACAGTGTTTACATGAACCTCAGAATCTGTCACTCATCAAATTTCACCATGCATTGTAGGCCCAATATGTAAGTTTAACTAGCTTTAATCCTACCCTTTACCGAGAGGAATTTAATAACAGTCCAGGCATCAAAAGGGTAGGGGATGAAGAAACAAACAGTGAAAGCAAAGTAGAAAAATGTCTAGACTTCTGCAAGTTAGCCCCATTCTCATTCGGTAGATTATCACCGAAAGTTTGAAGAAACACTGCAAAAAGTACTAAACCTAAACATGCAGTATATGCCTATAAACCAAGCATTTGAGAGGTGGATATAAGAGGATTGGGAGTTTAAGGACATTCTTGACCACATTACATGTTTCTGAGCTAGATACCAAGCCTGAAAAAAAATAAAACCAACAAATATAAACAATACCAAACATATACATAAAACAAAACAACAAAAACAAACAAACAAACAAAAATAGAACAAAGAGTAGTGTGGTGCTACCTGCCTTTAATCCCCCTACAATAGAGGCAGAAGCCAGACTGGTTTAGCAGTACAGGAAAGCTATGTAAAAAGACTGTCTCTCTCCTTCCCTGTCTGTCCCTGTCCCTCTCTCTTCAGGGGAAGGTGAAAATGCACTAGGTTTTGAAACCCAGTCTCAAAAAACAAACAAACAAACAAACACACACACACAAAACTGAATAAAGGGATGGGGGGGCCTTTAACTGAAAAAAGGCCTGGCTAACCATCATTTCTTAGAAAAAAAAAAAAAAACAACAACAACAACAAGGATTGGGATGGTAATAAAAACCTAGTGTTTCAGCATTTTAATAAGAAAGCCCTCCTATTATTTCTATAGGAGACAGATTAGCAGGTAAATATCTGACCTTGGAAACCAACACAAAAGCAAGATATGGTGGTTTATGTTATCCCAACACTACATTGCAGATGTGGGAAGCAGACAAGAGAACTGCCCAGAAACTCAAGGACCAGCTAGACTGAATACGTAAAGTGGTAGAAACAAGTGGGAGGTATAAACTGACTCATCAACGTTGTCCTCTGACCCCCCACATGCATGCCATGGCACACATGAACACAAGGACACACAAAAGAACTGTACATACATGACTGCACGCATCATGTGCACACTTTTATTATGCTGGGCATTAGAATCCAGGGACTTAATTAAGCAAGGTGAGAGTACTACACTGAGCTACATGCCCAACACAGGAGGTTTGGTTTACAATTTTTATTACATGTATGGATGTTTCAGCCAAATGTGTATCAATGGCAATTAGAACTGGAGTCCTGGATGGTTGTGAGCCACCATTGGGGGGGGGGGGTGCTAGGAATCAAACCTGTGTCCGTGGGAAGAACAGCTGGTACTGCTCTGAAGGGCTAAGCCATCTCTCCAGCCTCTTAAGCCCTATACTTTTAGGATAAACATTTGGAAAAATCAGTACTTTTACTTTAAAAAACAAAAAAATTGTGTGTTGGGGGGAAAAATCCCATTGGTTAAGTGTTTGTGCTACATGCATAAATACCTAAATTCAATACCCAGAATTCATATTAAAGAATAAACTGGGAGTCTGTAGTGGTGGCACATACCTTTAATCCCAGCACTTGGGAGGCAGAAGCAGGTGAATCTGAGTTTGAGGCCAGCCTAGTCTACAGAGTCCAGGACAGCCAGGACTACACAGAGACACCCTATCTGGGGGAAAAAAATATAAAAATAATAAAATAAACTGGGGGTGGAGAGCTGTCTCAGTGGTTAAGAGAATTAATTATATTTCTAGAGGACTAAGGTTCAATTCCCAGATTCCACACAGTGTTTCACAACTATGTGTAACTACAGTTCCCAGGCACAAAACACCTTCCTTTGGGTTACTAGTGCAACAGAAATGAAAGTGGTATACAAGTAGGTAAAACACCCACACACAAAACAAAATAAGAAATAAAGTGATGGGGGAATGTCCTTCTGTATGCTGTGAATGAATATATACTTCTCTTATTGGTTGCTGAATAAAGCTTTTTCAGCCAATAGGCAGGATGTAGCCAGGCAGGAAGTATAGGTGGAGCTACTAAACTAGAAGGCTGGGAAGAGGAACAGAGGGAGTGAGTTGGGGGACCAGCACATGCCATGTAGCTGCTGAAGGAGCAAGAGGTCTGGGGATCACCAGTAAGCCAAGACCATCTGGAGATAAACAGATTAATAGAAAAGGTTAATAATTAAGAGAGGGCTAGCCAGTAAGACGCCTGAGCCACTGGCCAAACAGTTTGATATAAGCCTCTGTGTGTTGATTTGGAACTAACTAGCTGTGGGACCAGGCAGGACAGAAACGTTTGTCTACATTAAAAGACAAAACACATACCACTGAAATCCTCACCCATTTTGGCCTTGAAGAATTCTAGACCGAACAATTCACAAACTTTTTATAAAAATAAACAAAAACACTTACATTGAGTCTCCTAACAAGAACATGGTACTTCCTCAGGAATTACTAGGAATTATTTAAAATAAATTTCAGGTATTATTTTTTTTATCTTACCGATTTTTTTGGAATGGTCGGCCAATATTCATAGCAGCAGCATTTGTTTTATAAGATCCTGGTGAAGTAAAGCCATTCACAAAACTACCATTGGGAAAAGGAGCCTAAAAGAAAACATTAATGTTTAATTTTAAGAACATAATACTACAGAGAGGGTTTTGAAATCAGTTTCTTCAATAAGTCAAAAATAGAAAACTCTGTACTTAACTAATTTCTGCAATGCTCCCACCACAAACTATTTTATTTTATTATGAATAACATATTGCTTATTCATCACATACAAACCACTCTTTCATGACAAAATTTTACAACACTAGCATCATTTAAAATAACAAAGGAGCCAGGCATGGTGGTGCATACCTTAAGTCCCAGCCCTCTAGGCGCAGGAGGATCTCTTTGAGTTCAAGGACAGCCTGGTCTACATAAAGACTTTTAGGATAACCAGGGCTTACATGGTAAAAAACAATAATCAATCAATCAACAATCAACCACAAAGGATTTAGTTTCTTCTTCAACTCACTGAATAAAATGTTAAGAATCCAATTGTAAAACTAACAGCTCAACACTCAGTAATGTGCTTAGACTGCAGATGAACTGGGCTTTTTTTTTTTTTTTTTTTTTTTTTTGTCATTTTTGTGACTACTATGGCTAGTCTGTTACTTGCTATGCAGACTAATTGGCCTTGAAATTGCTGCCTGTGGTGCACCTGGTTTTCAGATAATCTCTTTATTTTTTAGCTTGATCTAAATATCTTGGTATTTTCTAAAAGTCTCACTTACCAGTGGTGTTTCAAAGTAAGGTGCAGGACTTGGAGACCAAGACTGAGGCACAATACTATACACTGAGTACTGCTGATGAGGGTTATACACTGGCTGCATAAAGATTGGTGAGGGATATTGAGCTGGAGTCTGAATGGGTTGAGTGTACATACTAGAATCCATTAATCGATAACCATTCTTAGCAAAAAATGTATTAATGGCTTTTATCCTTGCCTAGAAGAAAACATAATAAAAGATGAAGTGTACATTACAGCAAATATATTCAACTTATTTTTTATTTGTGTTATAATTTATTTCTGCTTAGAATCAATTGAACAAAATAAACAATAGCTTTAAATCAATAGAAAAGTATGGGCTTGAGAAGAACCACAACAAACAAGGTAAAAATAAGTCAACATGGGCTGATTCAATGGTTAAGCATGTGTATGCTACTCTTCCATGCAAAGGGAAATATTACCGTCTGTATCATGAACCTGGAGGGCATTAGGTTAGAGGAAACAGCTAAGAACAAAAGGTGCCCCTGGCCTCTGCTAGCACAGGTACTTATATGTACATGCTCATGTGCAGAAATATACACGGATACGTAACTAAAATAAAAAATAAGTTCAATATTGTTTTTTTGACTCTTTGTTGGCACCAGATAAACATGGATCTCACATAAAAAGATGAAAAGAAAAATCACTTATATAAAAAGGACACCGAAGCTGTCATAACGAAGACAGCAGTAGTGTCTCAGGGAAGTAAAGACTGAGCAAACAAATCAAAGACCCCAAGACACATCTCTAAAGAAATGTGACAGGTTCAATCAACAAGTAAAAGTAGACAACTGTCCAAATTAAGGGAACAAAATGAGGGGGAGAGTGGGGGCTAGAGAGATAGCTCAATGGTTAAGAATATGCATTGTTCTCCAAGAAGACCTGAGTTCAATTTCCAGCACCTGTATCAGTCAGCTTACAACTTTGTGTATCTCTAGCTCCAGGGATGGCCCTAATCTCAAACATATGCACATATACAGAAATGCAAATATATACACACAAAATAAATATAAATTAATAAAATGTTAAAAAGGGAAATAGGTTTTATACTACAATATATACTAAATTAATGAACTTTATTAATGAAGATCAAATTATAAATATAAAACCTTTAAGTAACTAGGAGACACAAAACAGTATCTCTGTAACCTCAAAGGTGAACAGTCATTAAAGAGACAAGGAAGAATGAATAGCAAAGGAAATTCACTTGTAGTATGGAAATTTATATTATCAGTGACCCCAAACAAATCAGATTTAGATGTCAGTTCTTATAGTAGTGTCTTGTGTTATTTCTCTGAAGTACAAGTTACTTGCACCATTTGATTTCTTTACTAGCCAGTCATTTGACACTAGACTGGCTATGCCATTTTCTTCATTAATCAAAGTGGAAAAAACAAGAGCACCTATCTTAGTAAGCCTTGAACTCACTATGTAGCTTAAGCTAGCCTGAAATAACCAATTTCCTTCTCTCACTCTGTAAGGATGAATTAATGTGTGTGCAAGGCTTAAAACTTAAACAATAAGAAAACAAGAAAGGAGTTAGTAAATCAACTGGTCAAGTCTAAACAATGGTAATAATGAGGGAAAGAAGTATGAAGGCAAATGTTATGGAATTTGAGAAGACACTGAAGTATTACTCATAACAATTCCTTCTCAATGAATATAATTGTGGTAACAGTTAAATGAGACAGGGCTGAAAGAACTGGAAATAGTTCTCATCACTATTAAGAAATTATACTTATTATTCATTTTGAGATCTAGATTTGAAGGATGTGAATTAGTATAAAACCTTTGTAATTCCCTGTAGAAACCTTCCGTATTCAGAATATTTTCATGTTTTCTGTCAACTAACTTTCTGAACATAGTGAGAGATGTTCCTAAATTCATTACAGGTTTTATAAAACATCTTTCATGCATTCTTAATTCTTTTAAAAGAAGCACAATAACAAAACCCCAACAACAATCACCCTCCCCCCAAAACCCCTTATTTCATACTGTCATCTAATGTTTCTTACCATGATTGGCTTGCCCTGAAATGTTTTAACTTCTTCTCTTAAATATTTAAAAGCCTGTTAAAATAAAAATGAACATTTATTAGTATTTAAACATTTTCATTAAAGCCTTTTTCATTCTCCCAAATGAGCTTGCTACTATCAGTTCCTAAACTAAACAAAAAGGTCTTGCTGTGCACATTTGTAATCCCAGCCCTCAGGAAGCTTCACAGGAGAGCTTTGTTGTGAGCTAACCCAGCCTTGGACACAGCAAGTCAAAAACAAATGCAAACAACAAACCTCGAGGTAATGAGACCAAAAAAAAAAAAAAAAAAAAAAAAAGGCAAGAAAACAACACATTCCTAGTTATAGCTTATAGATAACGCGGAAGTTGGTATGGGGTTATGACAATAGGCAGGAAATAAGAAACTCATGTATCACCAGGTAACAACTTTAATTTTACTTAGCTGTGAGTGGTGGCTTTCACACAAGACTGCTGGGAGTGAGGCCAGCCTGACCAACCTCACAGGTTCCAGGGCAGCCTTGCTCACACAGTGAGCAACTGTCTCAAAACAAATACACAAGAGGAAAAAGAAAAACCACTACCACAACATCATCAACAAAACCCTGAATAACCCAGTCCCAAAAGAAAACAAAAAACCTGAATTTGATTTCCATATCTGTAAGTCCAGTTTCAGGATACCCAACATCCTTTTTTTGCCTTTTTTGGGCACCAGGTGCAGACAGACAGACAAAACACTCATAAATTAAAGGAGATCAAAAGGGGTAAGACCATTGTGACAGTTCACATCGGCTGTATCTCAGCATTCTAGAAGTGAGGATGGAAGACTGCCATGGAGCCGGGGCCACCATAGTGAGTTCCAAATCAGCTTCAGACTCAGAGTAAGACAGTCTCCCAACAAAATAAAAATACAACAAAAAGAAAAAAAACTGATTTTTTTAAAAACTGCAGACTTACTATGTACTAAAACCACCTTTTGTTATGAGTAGTTTTCCCCACTGGCCTGGTCCTACAGCTGCACCAGCCCCAAATAATACACAGAGATGCTGTATTAGATATAAAGCCATTGTGGTCTTATCTTACTGGACAGATGGCCCGCATTCTTCTCTGTTCTACATCTTGAATCTCCTCCCTACTTCTCTCTCTTCCTAGTCTCCTAGCCCCGCCTATCTTGCTTTCCTATTGGCCAACAGTGCTTTATTCATTAACTAATAGGAGAAACATATTTACAGAATGACATCTCCCATCAACTGTTGAACACATAATTCCAAATCTTTACATACATTTAAAGTCTGTGCTATTTTTTTTTTTTCCCATTGACAAGTAAACACTTTTTAACATTACAACTGTTTGGGAGGTAGTGGCACGTGTCTTCAATCCCAACACTTGGGAAGTCAAGGCAGGCAGATCTCTGTGAGTTCAAGGTCAGCCTTTTACAGAGTGAGTTCAGGGCAGCCAAAACTACACAGAGAAACCCTGTCTTGAAAAATGAAAACCAAAACAACAACAAATAAGATCTGTTAAAATTATATGCAGATGATAAAGAAGTAAAAGAGTATGATCACTCTTGGTAAACATTTTCTTCTTTTTGTTGACACAGTCTTAAAAACTGCCTCAGTTTTAAGAGCTATGATAACAAGCATGCACCATTACTATCATGTCTAATTTAATTTTTTCCCTTTTTAAAGTTTTTAATACAGGGACTCATAAGTTGGTCCCAATCTTACTTTTGCTGGTCCTGGATCTTGCCTGTTTCTACCCCCCAAGTTCGGTGATTATAGGACAGGACTGCCATAGCTGGCCTTTTCCTTGTGGTACTGAACACTGAACCTAGGACCTTATATATCCTAGACATTTATTCTACCACCGGGCCACACCCCTATCCTAAATACATCCTCAACAAAACACATAACTTTTTCTTTTTCTAGTGAGATTTTTAATGGAAGCGTTCTCACCTGCTGTGCATCTGTGTCTGACTGGAAAGTGATGTACCAGTTGCTGTTGTGTGCGAATTCACAACTTATCACTTTGGGGCAGTTTTCATTTTTAAACAAAGCTTTCACTTCCTAAAAAAAGAGAAAGTATAGTCAACTATTAAAATGAAAACATATGCAGCTAAGTGTAAAAATTTGTACATAATAATGTTTATTATTTTATGAACAACATAACTGAAGTACTTCAGTTCTAATGGCAAGCTAAATTTTCCTTATAGTACTCTCTTCAATCATTTTCCTCCCCAGCAGGGGTTTTGTTTTGTTTTTGTTTTTTTTTGAGATAGGGTTTCTCTGTGCAGTCCTGGTTGGACTGCTTTGTGGACTAGGATGGTCTCAAATTCATAGAGATCCCCAATCCTTTCTTTAATTTTTAGTACACCTACATGCATTAGTGAGGCCAGCAGCAAAGCAGTTAAGAAACATAAACTCTAGAATCACACCAAGTTTCAATCTAGTCTGTCATTTAATAATCTAATCCACTTACCCTTGGGTAATTTTTTTAACCAAACTAAGGCTTAGTTAAACAATAATAAAACTATGGCTTTAGTGATTCCTGGTAAGTGTGTGTATGTATGTGTATTTTTAGAAGGGTCTGATTTTGCAGTATATTGATTTACTCAAATATTATTTTATTCCCAAACCTGAACCATACTTGATCCTTGCTATAGGTTTGTTTTACATTTTGCTACACAACCCTTATTCAGAATTTTCTTCTTCATCCACTCTTATTAGATGAATCCCCTACTTAACTGTCAAGTCAATACATTCAAAATTAGTATTACTGCAATACTTAAGTTTATCCTTTTAAGAACAAAGAGGTATATGTTCTTTCTTCCTCTATGCTATTCTAATACTTCAGATCTAACAAATCTACAGTAACTGATATAAGGATATTGGTTTTTACTTTGTTTACCTACTCCCTCCAATATAAACAGTTAAAGGACATTTAATTTTAATAATAACCAATGGTTACCTCTACTGGTGTTGTTTCAGGAATTTCTCTGAGAATTACGATACAACGCTTATGACTTGGTCTCACCTTCTCCCCCTTCTCATCAACTTGTACCATAGGGGAAGCTGAAATTTAAAAAAACAATGTATCCCATTTAAAAGTGACAGGTGATGATATAACGATGCCATTAAAAACTATTCATTCAACTCTATCAAATATATTGTCAAATGCTAAGGTAAAATGCCAAAAATTACTGTCATTGTTTTTTTAAAAGGAGGATTATCATGCAAAGATGATTACTAAATGTTATTTGCTAATTAAGTATCTGGAGCACCTACACTGTGATTAAATGTGCTGAAAAGAATCCTCCAGGGAAGGACTTTGGGAGCACATTCCCCATGGAGGCTTACTCCCTTAACCTAGAGGCAGGTGCGAGGGCCTAGTCCCTACTTCAAATGACTTGACAGATTTTGTTGATCCCTCCTCCTGGAAGGCATCACACTCCCTGTGGACTGGAGGTAGGGGGTAGGAGGGTGATCGGGAGGCATGGGAGGAAGGGAAAGAAGGAAAGAGGGAGGGAGAGGGAACTGGGATCAATATGTAAAATAAGAAAAAAATAAAATGAACAACAACAACAAAAAAAAAAAATCCTCCAGGGAACAAAGAGCATTTATTATTATGATTTCAATGTGTATTACCTTTCTCCCTAGTAATGAGGATGACTAGGGAGGGATAGAGGGAGGTACAGGTTCATCATCTAACTTCAGGAGTATTTATCAAACTATACATAGGTCACAACCATTAGCAGGTCATGAAATTTAGAACAAATTAGGCAATTTCTATTCAACAATCTTTACTTGCAAATATTTTCTGTGTGTACAAGAGTAAAAGCAAATACATATTTATACATACACACACTAAAAGCCCACTTAAAACAATTCCCTCTATGATTAGAAATACATACTTTTTTTTTTAAACTTTTATGACTTTAAAAAAAAATAAAAAGCTAAAAGTCATTGACATACATCTCAACACTTCAAGAATTAAATCCAGATCTGTGGTCAGTTTTTTAATTTCTTCCATGTTGGCAACTGTCCATATTGGGACGAACTGATCACTATCCATTTGAGATATCAAGTAAAGATCCTTTGATAAATTTTCTCTGGAATAAATAAACAGAACCAATTATAATACACAATTCTTTAAAAGCACATAAAGCAAAAAGTACCATATTCATGTTTATAACTACACCTAAACAAAGCAAAGTAGTAGAAACTGTAAGATGAATTATGAAAAGTTCAGCTGGACAGTGGTGGTGCACACCTTTAATCCCAGCACTTGGGAGGCAGAGGCAGGCAGATCTCTGTGAATTTGAGGCCAGCCTGGGCTCTTACACAAAGAAACCCTATCTCAAAAAAGTAAAAACCAAAACAAAAGTTTAACAGTTCTAGCAGTTCAATTTAATATATACCAACATAATAATATACCAGTAATAACTTAAAAAAGGTTTCGAATCAAAAAGCATATAGGGAATAATGGTTATTTAACCATAAATTGAATCATGGATGATATTTAATATATATATATTTTTTTTTTCATAAAAATGCTTGACAATATTGTAACTTGGAAGTATTTAAAATTAAAATGAAAGACTCAGTTCAGAGCTGGCATTACAGATGTGTAAGACCAAAACCAGTTCAACATCTTGTCCTTTTGATTGTATCAAATAGTCTTTAAAGCAAAATAAATAAAAATACCAGTGCTGGGCACCTTTAATCTCTGTACGAGGAAGGCAGAGGCAGGTGAATCTCTGAGTTTGAGGCTAGCCTGATCTATAGAGCCAGGACAGCCAGGGATACACAGAGAAACCTCACCTGGAAAAAAAAAACAAACAGCCACCCCACCCACTCCCAATCCCCTGCACTCCCCCTAAAAAAACAACAACAAAAAACACATACTCTGGATTCCCCTTCCTCTCATGCTGCTCTACTTTAATTTTTTAACCCACAGGAATCATCACATACCTGTATATTTATGTTTATTGTTTTCATGAAAGATCTTTATAACTAAATAATGCTTTAAAGCCTTATGGGGAGCTAGAAAGACAGTCCAGGGGCTTAAAGAACTGAGTGATTTTCCAGAAGACTCAAGTTCCTAGCACTCACATGGCAGCTCACAGCCATCTGTTAACTTTAGTTCCAGGGGATCTGATGCCCTCTTCTAGGTTCTGCAGGCAATGCATGTTTATGATGTGTAGACATATGGGCAGGCAAACACCCATACACATAAAAAAATAAATCTTTAAAAAAAATCTTATGGGTAAAGAGTAAGCTCAAAGACCTTTAAATTAAAATTCAACTGAAATAGTTATCATGGCAGTTATTTGTTGGGGGAAGGGTAATAGAAGATACCAATAAGATTAAACTCAGATTTTACCATAAAAGGACAAATTAACATCAGTGTAATAAATTATTATTTAATAACTTGAAAATCAGAATCATAACTTTTGCAAAACTATAATGCTGTAGCCTAAGCCAACAATGACATGCAGTAGCCTCATTCTTATCAACCAGTATCGAAGTGCTTATCCAAAGAAACTGTAATTGTCAAAAGTAAATCAAACTGATAGTACATCTAAGACTTCTTACTTACAAGTAAACCTGGTATATAGTATTGGCAATGTAGCTGAGCCACAAATGATATTAGCCAGACTCAAAGTGCACCATACATCTAAGCATGATCACAAACACTGTTTTATCAGAAACCAAAAAATGCCATATAAGTTACAAAAATCATACTTCTGAAGATATGAGAGAACGAATGGAAGCTTAAAAATTAAAGTGTCAAGAATACTTTTTCTTCTAGACTAAATCTGTGTATAATGGTTCAGAGTAACTTTACTTGGCAATGGAGAAACCAGAGAAGCAGATTTGAGTAGTTGTGTGTAGACATACGATATGAATATTAGCCAAATGACTAGCACTACTAATTAAAAACCACAGGTATCTAACACACAGTCCATTTTTTTAAATGTTTCCTAGGATTTTAAGGAGGAAGATGTAAGACTATGAGCCAGATTGAAAAGATAGTATACCACCAACATTTATAAAAAGTACAATAAAACAATCAACTAACCGGGCTTTGAGTACACCCTTGTAATTCTTGCAATAGGAGGTTGAATCAGGAGAATTACAAATTCAAGGCCAGTTGATATAATTGGGCTTTATTGTTGCTATCTATCTTAAAAAGCAGGAGCAGCAGCAAGAAACTGATAGAGGGGCTAGAGAGATGGCACAGGGTTAAGAGAACTTGCTACTCTTGTAGAAGACCTAGGTTCAGTTCAGCTCACAACTTTAACTCCAGTTCCAAGAGATCCAATGCCTTTTCTTACCTCAGAGGACACAGCACATGAGTGATGCACATATACACATATAGGCAAACAGTCATATACATAAAATTAATAAGAAAGAAAAGCTGAATACATTTTTAAATCCAGAACACTGGGAGGCAGAGGCAGGTGGATCTCTCTGAGTTTGAAGCCAGTCTAGTCTAAACAGTGAGTTCTAGGCCACAGTTAGATCTACACCATAAGACCCTGTTTAAAAATAAAAAACAAAAAGCAGGATGTGTGTGTGTGTATGTGGGTGTTATATGGCAGGGGACATGATGACAAAAAGACAACAGAAGCTGTTCCACAATGATAAGCCAGTACGTAAGAACCTTAACTATTAAAGAGTATTGTTTTTAATGAAAAAGGAATCATGCTCACATCTAATCCCAGCACTAGGGATGAGTAGGAAGAAGGACTGATGAGAACTCAAAACCAGGGTAAGCTCACAGTGACTTCCAGGTCAGCCTTGGCTACAGAAATAAGACCTTCCTTTCTTTAAAAAATAAATAAATAAAGTAAATAAGTTAAATCTAATTACATCAGCTTGTTATGACAGTGCATGCTTCTAATTCCAAAAATCCTAGGGTAGCTAAAGAAGGAGAATCATGAGGGCTGCTTGGGTTCCATAAGCCAGTCTCCAAAAAAAAAAAAAAAAAAAAAGTGTGTTTCCTTGTGCTGAAGTGTCAATAACTGGGTGCAGAATAATTGATGAAATTAGAGCTGGGATAGGCTGAGTGCTCGACTAGTACTCACGACGCCCTGGGTTTAACCCTCAGCACCAGTAAGGAAAATGGTAGGGTGAGCACAAGAGAATTAGAAAACCACAAAATAACCATTTGATAACCATTTCCAAGTTCTTCATATGAGATTCAGGACTGAGGGTAACAGCTCAGAGGCACAGCACCTAACTGTCTAGCATGTGACAGGCTCCAGGTTAAAGATGGGAGTGGTGGTGTGTGTGTGTGGGGGGGAGTTTAGCCTGGTGTGATAGCTGTGATAGTGCATGTCTTTAATTCTAGCACTAAGGGGTCAGAAGCAGGCAGATCTCTATGACCTCTAGGAAAGCTAGAGCTACAAAGTGAGAACCTGACTCACAGATTCAAAATGTAAAAACGAGAGAGAGAGAGAGAGAGAGAGAGAGAGAACATTTGCGCACGTGATAAAATCTATGCTTATGAGCCTTGGTGGTGCACACGCCTTTAATCCCAGCACAGTTTGAGGCCAGCCTGGTCTATAAATTGAGTTCCAGGACAGCCAGGACTACACAGAGAAGCCCTGTCTTGAAATCCCTCCTCCCTCCCCAATTGATACTTCTGATCTAGAAGAAGCTTTAAAAACTGGTTCACCAAAGACTGGAAAAATGAAAAACACTACATTTGCACATATGTCCAAAATTTCAATTTTCTAATAGCCTTTGTTTTGTTTGAGAAAGGGTCTCATTACATGGTCCTGGCTGTTCCAGGACACACTATGTAGACAAGGCCAGCCTCAACTTAGAGACTCAACAGCCTCTGCCTCCCTAGTGCTAGGATTAATAGTGTGGGTCATAATACACAACTGTAAATAGTTTTATATAATGAAATTTTATGGTATTTAAGTAACAACAAATATTTCTAAAGTCTCACCTGTAAATAAGCCATTTTGAAACATTTGCCTAGAAAGACTTTTTGTTTAAGAGAAGACAGTATTATAGATTTTATGCCTATCTCTTCAGGATCTTACTAAAATTACTCTGTTCAAAAGTTTTAAGAACTCCTAAAAACTTAAACTGAGGTATTTTCCCTTTTACTGTACCAGTTTTTAAAAATTAATTTCATTTAGTGTATGTGGAAAACTCTGTCTAAATATGATCCCAGGAAAAATATTCAATAAACACTGTCACTATCTGCTAGGAAAAGATAAATCCAACTAAAGGCTAGACTTTTAAGACTAGATAAGAAATACACTCAAGAATGATAGCAAAATCTATGACTAAAGGAACTAACTTCCTATTTCCTATTCCACAGGCATTTTATATCTACTCAATAAAATTCAAAAAGGAGAATATCAATAAAAAAGATCTGTACCGTGAGAAACAGAACTCTAATTGTTTTTTCAGACATTCTTTTAAATCTTCTGTAGAAATTGTTGAACTGCTTTCTCCTGATGGCAGAAAAGAGGGAGAAACTGTTAAAGTTGTCACAGGTGAAACTTACACATTGTATTCAGAAGTCACAGAGTAGCCATAAATTAAAATGTACCAGAACTATTTTTAAATCAAGTCTAATTTCTTTCAACTTATGCTTTTCTCAGTAGCACATCATACTGACTGAAGAATTCTCTTGTTGAGCTGGGGTTGAAGTCCAAAATACAGTGATAAAGTTTTCATCTAGCATGTATGTGGCAATGGATTCAATAAGCATGTCACAGACACAGTTCATACTTATGAGGGCTGGGAAATGCTCAGTTAGTAAAGTGCTTGCCACACAAGCATGAAGTCAAGTTCAATTTTCTCTCTCTCTCTCTCCCTCTCTCTCTCTCTCTCACACACACCACACACACCAAGAAGTAACAAAGGATCATTAATACTAAAAGCATTTGACTAAGTGAGTTCCAGAATAGCTAGGCTACACAAGGAGACCCTGTTTCAAAAACAAAAAGAAGAAAGTAAAAACCACCCAACTCTTCAACGAGAACAAAAAACAAGAAACCCCAAACATAACTAATGGTGATCTAAATTTAAAGACAGGAACTAAGGTAGGATATAATGTGTTTATATAACTATGTTTTACTAGCAACAGATCCAGTGTGTGTCACACTCTTTAAATTCTCTTTTATATCTCTTTTTCTTCATTCCTTGTTTTTTGCATGTTCAGTTGGTTTTGATTTTTTAAAGATAGTATCTAATGTAGACTAAACAAACTTCAAACTCACTATGTGGGCAAGCATGACCTTGAACTGACTCTTCTGCCTCTACTGCCAAGTGCTGAGATTATACTGCACAGGGTAGGTCTTACTATGCAGCCCACACTGTCCTTAAAACACAGACCATAAGCTTCCTCCCCTGTCACCCAAGGAGGGAACACAGAAAACAATGACTTTGCATCCTCTTACAGTGTCATGTGCACGCTTCTATTTTACATGTGCATATGTGCATAGAGGCCAGAGGTTGATGTTTTGGTGTTCTCTATCATTCCCCACCTTAATTTGAAACAAGATCTCTCACTGAACCTACTATGGTGGCTAGCATAGGAAGTTCCCAGGATCTGCCTCTGCCTGTCTCTGCTAACTAGGACTGGGGATAGACTCAGACCCCTATGCCTAGCTTGTATGTGGGTGCTGGGAATCAAGACACAGGTCCTCCTTCACTCACTGAGCACCTATTCAGCCCTAGTATTTTCTCTTACATAAAAATGACTAGCTGTTAAACTTAAATACACAATAACAAATTAACTTCATCAGTAATGAAGGCGTTACATTTTAAGTATATATAATATACTATGTGTGTTTATATCTTTTTCCCTCTTTCTTTTTGAGGGTTTCTCTGTGTTACAGCTCTGCTGTCCTGGAACTCTCTCTGTAGACCAGGCTGGCCTTGAACTCACAGAGATCTTCCTGTCTGTCTCCCAGTACTGGGATTAAAGGCTTGCACCACCACCTGCTAGTATATGAAATCTTTAAACCTTTTTAACATTATTATTTTATGTATATAAGTGCTTTGTCTACATGAATGCCTTTGTATCACATTCATGTCTGATGCTGCTGGAGGCCAGAAGAGGACACCAGATCCCCTAGAACTGGAGTTATGGATGGTAGGTGAGCATTCATGTGGGTTCTGAGAATCAAGCCCAGGTACTCTGGAAGAGTGCTATAATCAATGAGCCATCTCTCTCTAGCCCTTGTGGAATCTTATCTTAAAAACAATTATTATTATGGGCTGGAGGTAACTCAGCAGTTAAAGAATGTCAACTACTTTTGCAGAAGATCCATATTTGGTTCTCAGCACGGGCTCCCAAGTTGGGTACCTCACAACCATGTATAACCCAAGCTCCAGGGAGATACAACCCCACAGCCCCCTATAGTCTCCACAGGCACACATATCTAGAACACACACACAAAAAAAAAAAAAAAAAAAATGAAGAAAAAATGTATTATTGTGTGTGTGAGAGAGAGGGAGGGAGAGAGAGAGGAAGGGAAAAAGAGACTATGTATGTAGGTGTGCATGTGACAAACAGGACATCTTTGTAGGGTTGGTTCTTTCCATCTACCTGTATGTGGGTTCTGGGAACTGAACTCAGTGTGGCAAAGTACCAATAGCCTGTACATGCAATCATGAACAACCAGTTTATTTAAGCTCCAAAGTCATTTACAGAAAGTATTCAAACAAACTAGTTACACATGTCATTTATCAAGTTTATATTCAAAGTAGCCACTGCTATCTATAATACAACCATAGGTTCAAAGGAGATATCATTACTTCATTTTGTTAATTCATCCCTAAAAATTAATTAATTAATTAACTAACTAATTTTGCCTGTGAGCTACCATGTGCATGCCTAGTGCCTGCAGAGGCCAGTAGGAAGCACTGGATCCCCCAGAACTAGAATTGCAGACTGTAGTAAGCTGCCGCATAGGCACTGGGAGCTGAATTTAAAGCAACAGTGCTCTTAACTACTCAGCCATCTCTCTAGCCTGTGGGCTCTTCACTTTCAATTTTCATATAGGAATTATCAACACTATATACCTCAGAGTTTACCTTCTAAGTCAAAAGACTTAGAAATCTGGCCTGGTCACTAGGTAGAACCTAGCATGTGGAACCTAACTCAGATTCTAAGCACCCAAGTAAAAAGCTAAGTCTGTGCCTATAACCTCAGCATACATGGGCAGACTCATGGACACATGCTCACAACATACATGCAAACAAGTCTTAAGTATTTAATTGAAGCCAGAAATGGTAATGGACATCTTTAATACCAGTACTTTGGAGGCAGGCAGATCTGAGTTCGAAGCTAGCCTGGACTTCTTAGCAAGTTCTAGGCCAGCCAGGGCTACATACCTAGTAAGACATCACCTCAAAAAGAAAAGGAATAATGAAGACAATTATTTATAGATCTTGTTCTAAGTCACATGGCTACTTGAGGCAGAAAGTGATATGCCTTCTCCAAAAGACTATTTGGAAAAATAAAGTTAGATACTCACAATCTAGGGTTCACTTCAATTCCTTTTAAGTTTCCTTCATCTTTATGGCTCTGTACGAGGTATTGAGGAAGGAACCATGCATGAGTCCCAGTTGTGGGTGGTTCACAACTAACAGTAATTCCAGCTCCAAAGGTAGCTTGTGCACATACACACAGACATGTAATTTTTGGAAAAATTAAAAATGTATCTAATTTTTTTTTTCAATCACTTTAAATTATACTGACTACTCCATGCTGGTTGGATTAATGTGAAAAAAAGAAGAAAAAAAAAAAAAAAAACTTTGCAAACAGCATCACAAAAGTCTGTTGCTGATGTTAAAGAGACTCTTCCTGTTTTGCCCAAGCTAGGTCTAAAACTCTCAATTCAGTTGTCGTCTCTGCCTCTCAAGTGCATGGATTAGAAGTGAGCACTACCCCTGCCCATCCAGAACTATACCCTCCCCCCACCCTTACAGGATTTCTCTGTGTATCCCTGGCTGTCCTTGAACTTAGAAATACGCCTGCCTCTGCCTTCCAAGTGCTGGGATTAAAGGTGTGTGCCACTACTGTCCATCTTAATATATATTTTTTTCTTAAAATTAATCTCTTAAACACAATACTTATTTCAAAATAAATTTCATGCTGACAAAAATGGTAGAAAAACTGATAAAACTGAAAGATCTCAACTGATCAACCAAGAAACTCAGAACTTTTGAAATTTGGATTTCTCTTAACTATTTCCCGATATCTTTAACAGGACTTCAAAAAGATTCCTCCTCTACAAATTTTATGTCTGGGTACTAGCCAACAGCATTTTAAATAATCACCTAATAGTTGTTTGACATAAGGTTCTTTTCAAAACAGAAAACAAACTGAACAGTATCATGTTTATCAAAATGATGGGAAGAGAGCTAAGAATACTAAAGTCTCATTCTAGCAATTAAAAAAAAAAAGGTTACCAGAAACATCGTATATTTGGTAGCTCAGATCTTCAGGTCCTAAAATCATTCCATCAGCTGATTCTTCGATATCTGCAGTATTCCTTGTGGCCTCACAAGCTGGAGAATACATTACTTCATATTCCTTGCACATATCTTCTGAAAGTTCTGTATTACCTGTTTTTAAGAAAGGGAATTATTAAACCCACCTGTAGCACCTCTGAGTCATGTCCTCTAAAAAAAAGGTTTCAAAGAACTGCACCAGTTGGAGAAAATGTCGACATGGCTTAAGTTAAGAGTTATTTCTGAAGGGAGACAAGTTTTGACCATTATGGATGAGCTAGCATTTAATGTATTCAACTGCTCATATAATTCCTTTGCTTACTTTTCCTGGAAACACTATACACTGTGATAAGTTGATCAGTTATTATTTTTCATTATTTCTATTCTTCAGATGAAGGAAATAAGCACACCAGGTTAACTGCCAAAGGCCAGTGAGTTAATACATCAGATTATGACACACCCAAACAAACCTTGTAAGACATTATAAATGACATTCTGTAAGTGGGCTAGATGCTGACCCAAAAATACACATACTTGAAATTAATGGCTATTCATGTAAAGTACTAAAAAAAAGAATCATACACAAACTATATGCTAAGAATTCACAAATACACTTCATCAAATCTTTGTTTGGATCTGAAAAGTGGCCCCAAATGCTCAAGATAAAGACTTGGCCCTCAGTATAGCAATATTTAGGTTTGGATACACATAACTAGTAAACTGTGACTCACTCCATCAATGTATTAATCTGCTGAGGAGTTCGAACCCTTATAAGCTCTTTGAAAATGATGGCACCTTAAGAGGTGGAACCTAACTAACGGAAAGAGCTTTGTGGTAGTTGGTCCCACGCGCTTTCCTCTCAGGTTGTTTGCAGGGCCCATGACATCATCGACTCTATTCCACCAGGAGACCCCCAGTCATGATATTCTGCCTTCCAAAATTACCCAAAGGGACCAAGTTACTATGAGCCAAAGTAAATCTTCCTTAAAAGTTGAATTTTCTTTAAGGGAGGTTTCCTGACTCAGCATAAGCGGCAAAAAACCTCAAGGCTTTTAAAGAACTCTGCTAACAACTGAATGTTGTGTACGAGAGCTGGCAATGACAATGACCACATCTCCAAGCCGGCAACATGCTGCTGGATGGCAGCGCAGACCAAGACAGTGAGCATAGCTCTCAATGCTGGCGGTAAAATAGCTTTGCTTGTCTCTTACAAAACAAAGTGCAACCCAGAAAAATGCTGTTAGCAAGAAGTCTTGCTTGTCTTTGTTCTTTTGTTTGTAAAACCCTTTTTTAAGCTTTTGTTAAATTTTAAGTGGAAGTCCTTATTAGCCACGTTTCGGCACAGAAAAGAGGAGATGATGGGAGATGTCATTCTGTAAATATGTTTCTCATACTGGTTAATGAATAAAGCACTGTTGGCAAATAGGAAAGCAAGAAGGAAGTAGTAGGGAGAAGTCAACAAGGAGAGATGGGGGAGAGCAGACTCTCTGGTAAGATGAGACCACGTGGAAATATTTAGATTAATATAAATGGGTTAATACTTAAGACAGAGCTAACCGATAAGAAACAAGTAACTGGCCAACAGAATTATAATATCTTAAAAAAAAAAAAGTTGAATTTTCTTATGTATTTTGTTCAGCAACAAAATGTTAATCAACAAATCAAATAATCAAAGGCTATCTCAAAGGTGTTAGAGCCAATTTAACCAAAATTTAACTTCTCCAATAAATATTTAAGACTTACCCTCAGGATGAGATCCAGATGTGGCTGCAGTTTCGTGCCAAGAACTTTCAGTTACAGGAGTGCCATCCGTATTTCCAGAAGGAATTTCTTGCCATACTTTGGCATTAGGATTTAAACCAGTGCTTTTAGATGTTACCTGCTAAACAATCAAAAGATCTGTGTAAATTTAGATCAAGAGCTTTTCTATTATTTAGATTTGAAAAAAACTTCAATAATACTAACAGAGAAACAGTACAGAAGGATTAGGCCTGTGTTGTTCTCCCCACTCCCAAGGCTGTCAATTACACAGCTCAAGTTGTCATCAGTCTACTTCCTAAGCATCAGGATTACAGTGAAAATATAAAACTTTTAAAGCAACTGATCTGAAATAAGTATTTCAGATTTCCATGTGAAATATGGCTATCCATGTAACAAAATTATGCATCTTTACAAAACACTTTTCTTATGGAGACAGGGTCTCACTGGAAGCCCAGGATGGCTTGGTACTCCCAAAGAGCTGCTTGCCCATACCCCTGAGTCTGGCATTAAAGGCATGTACTACTATGACCAGTCCCTTTTACACACCTTAAAAATAAAAATAGTGCCTTAGCAGGTGGAGACACAAGTCTGTAACCCCATACTTGGTAGATAAGGCAAAGGCAAGAAGATCAGACGTTCAAGGCTAGCATCAACTACATAACAAGTTTGTGATCAGGCTGGGTTACCATGAGATACTCTCTCAAAATAACAAAAAGTTTAAAAATAAATTAAGAAAATACTATTTTATCCCAACACACTTGAAAATGTCATGAAATTTACTATTAAAAGTATTCAGATATCTAAAATGTATCTAAAAGCAATGGTTTTAGTTATTCATAGACGTGTTCAGAATATATCATTTTTATTACTAAGTAATATCAGATTTCTAAGTCTGAATGAGTCACTCAATGGAAATTCTATTGTAAGTCAGAAACAATGATCTACTTGGTATAGGGCATCAGATTCAAGCTAGTGGAGGCTGTGAGGTCCCTCATGTGGGTTCTGGGGACAGCCCCTTCTAATTTTAAAATTATTTATTTATGTGCGTGCGCAAGCGTGCATGTATGGTGTATGTGTGTATTTCTAGGAGGCCTGTTTTTCCTGCATTTGTCATGAAGTTCTCCCATACTCTTCTAATGAACAAATCTTTGAGTTTCTTTGAATGATCTTCAATGAAAACAATATTATTTCATTACACTCTATTGGCTGCCATATGTCTTTCTTTTTTATTTTTTTGTCTTTTGAGACAGGGTTTCTCTGTGTAGTCCTGGCTTTCTTAGAACTCACTATGTAGATCAGGCTGGCCTTGAACTGACCACCTGCCTTCTGAGTGCTGGGATGTACTGTGCCACCACCATCTAGCTTATATTTCCTAACCGCCTTTTTTTTTTTTTTTTTTTTTTTTTTTTTTTTTAAATCAACTGAAAAAAAGTTGTAAGAGTCGGTAAAATGGCTTAGGAGGCAAATGACTTGCCATACCTGACAACCTGAGTTTGATCCCTGGAACCTGCATAAAAGTAGAAAGAGAAAACTGACACAGTTGCCCTCTGACCTCTACACATGCACCATAGCACATGCAAACATACACTTAAACACCACCACACCACACACAAATTCTAATACATTTTATTTTTACTTTTTAAAGTTCAATATTTAAAATTTCCTCACATTGTTATCACTGTAGCACTGGGACTGAACTCAGCCATTATGCACACATGCTAAGTAAGCATTTACCAATGAGCTATACATTGGTCTGGTTTAATTTTAAAATAATGTCCACCTGGCCTTAAACTCTGAGTACGTCTCTGCGGCTCTCGTATGCTGTCACACTTCCTCCTGTGCCACTTCCTCCTGTGCCACACCGTTGCTTCCCTCCCCCTTTTCATACAGACAGGCAGGCCTTGAACTGATGATCCTCCTGTGTTCAAGTGCTGGTATTTCAAGCACGTACCACCATGGCTGTTTATAGGGGCAGTCTTCCTACATGTCAGGCAAACTCAAAGATTTTCTTGAATTGTATCTCAATTCAAAACTCACACTCAAATCTAGGCTAATGAATAGTCCTGGGAAATTTCCTTAACTGAGCTTCAATTATAAATGAAGTAAGATTTCTATTTTATAGACAGGGTCTCACTATATAGCCTTGGCTGACCTGGAGCTCACTATGTAGACCAAGCCAATGTTGGAACCCAAGTGATGAGATTAAAAGAGAGCAAGCACTACCAGCCCTAGCAGAATTGCCTTTTTTTTTTTTTTTTTTTAAATTTGGGCATGAAGGTTTACCTATAATATCAGCATCAGAAGATGGAAGCAGGGGTAACCAAAAAGCAAAGACAAGTTTCACCTACAGAGCAAGCTTGAGGCCATCTTGGGCTAAGTGAGACCACGTATCAAAAAATTTAAAACATTAAAAAAAAAATAATAAAGCAACCAAACATAGGGATTTTTTTTTCCCCCCTGTGAGTTACAGACCAGCCAGGGCTACACAGTAAACTCTGTCTCTTTTTTATAAATTAGCAGGTAATTAACTGATCCTTGAAAAGTATTGAACAAAATAAACATTCCACATCCTTTTTTTTTTATATAAAGCATATTGGAAATATTAGCTTTGTGTGGTGGTACATGCCTTTAGTCAAACATTTGAGAAGCAAAGGTAGATCTCTGAGTTGGGGTAAGTCTGGTCTAGACAGGGAATCCCATGCCACCCAGGGTTGTTCAAGAAAAACTTATTTACTGCATGTATGTTCATGTATGAATATTCATGTCCCATGGTGTGTATGTGGAAATCAGAGGACAACCTACAGGAATTGGTTCTTTCCTTACACCACACATGGATTCTTGGGAATCAAACTCAATTTGTCAGGCTTGGTAGCAAGTGCCTTTACTCACTAAGCCATCTTGTCAGCCCAGAATATTGGTTTGAGGTAGAAATGTACCTTTACAAGTATACCACATAAACACTAATGATTTATTCTAACAAAATAACTTCAAGGTGAAGTTATAAAAGTCTAACTACATCAGCAAAAATCACAAAACATAGCCAGGAAGTGGCAGTGCACATCTTTGATAACAGGCAGAGACAGGCAGATAAATCTTTGAGTTCCAGGCTGGTCTGATCTACAGTGAGTTCCAGGGGATACACTAAGAAACCCTGCCTCACTACCAACCCCCAATCACAAAAGACAGATTATAGAATAACATAAATGTCAACAAAAGGCTGAAGGAAAAAAAAAAAAAAAAAAGACTAGAAAAATAAATACCAAGACACATACACATGAGGCCAGCAAGACATATGACTCAAAAGATAAAGATACTTGCTGCCAACTCCATGGTCCTCTGACTTCATCCATGCACCATGGCATCTTTTCATCCCTCTACACACAAAAACACAAATTTTTTTTAAAAAATTAATACAAAGCAGTGATGGTAAGATGGCCAAGAGAGGAAAGGTACTTGATGACCTGTGTTCTTTCCCCAAGGCCCACATGGTATGGAAAACAGACTACTGACCTTATGGCATGTGTGTAGCAATCGCCCAAATAAATAAAAATTTTACAAAGAGCAGGGGCTAGACAGATTGCATTTACTACTCTTCCAGAGGACCCAAGTTTTGTTTCCAATACTCATCAGGCAACTCACAACTACCTGTAACTTCAGCTACAGGGGATTTTTTTTTTTTTTTTTTTTTTGGTATTTGGAGACAGGGTTCTTCTGTATTGTTTTGGAACCTATCCTGGAACTCATTCTATAGAACAGACTGACCTTAAACTCACAGAGACCCACCTGCCTCTGCCTCCCTAGTACTGGGATTAAAGGCGTGCACCACCAACGCCCAGCTCCCATATTCTTTTCTAGCCTTTCCTGGCACATTTACACATGTAATACTCTTAAGAGAAAAGATCTTTGCGCAAGGCAAGCACTTTATCGTCTGCTCTATCCCTCAAATTCAGTCAACTGTCATTCTTAAAGCTTTACTTTCTGACTGCTTTAATTGGTGTCAATGTTATGGGGTGGGGGGCGTAATTACTATCCAAGTATGGAATCTTTTTGTTGTTTCCAGACAGGATTTCTGTGTAGCCCTGACTGTCCTGGAACTCAGATCTGCCTTGCCTCTGCTTCCAGTGTGCCGCCATCATCAAGCTAAGTATGGAATCTTTTTTACTTCTTACACCGAAGCCTGAAATGTCTTCCTCCAACCCTGAGAAAGGACCTCACTATCAATTTAGTATTGACTGGCCTAAAACTTCAAAAACCTGCCTACATCAGTTTTCTGAATTCTGAAATTACAGACATGTACCATCATGTCAGGCTTTGCATTTTAAGCAATTTAATATCTTCTTTCAGTTCATCAATTGTCTTAAGTTTTTTTCTAAGATGCTGCCCAACTTATCCAATAAGTCTCTGAGCCCCTTTTTAACAATTTTATTTGTGTGAAGGGGAGGCAATTATGCTTAAATGGGTTCTTACAGAGAAAATTTATTTTCCTTTGCTAGGTGCCTACCCAGAAAGGTTCCTATTACAGAATCACCTTAAATTCCACACACCCCCCCCATCCCTGTGTGTGCATGTGTGTGTGTGCATGTAGGGTTTTTGATAGTCTGGCCTTTACCTTGCTATGTAGCTGAGCATGGCCTTGAACTCCATGATAGCCCCCCCCCACACACACACACATCCATCTCTTAAGTGTTGCTAGGATTAAAGATGTGAGCCATGCTAAGCTACTTTATATTCTCAATTTAGGATTTTGGGAAACAATAGGGTACTCCATAGAGTGGGGACGAGATTGAGGTTAGAATTATTAAAGACCTTTCCCATACAAACCAAGGCTAAAAACAGGCAGTTTTCCTTTTCTCTAAGAAATATCACCTCTATGTTTGATTCTAGTGTTCTTTGTATTCTGTTTCTAAGCACAGACCACTGGGCCGCCCCCACCAAGGATCAACAGATGCTAAGGATAGCTAGCCCCAAGTTTGATCAACTTCCATAGATAAGTACTTTTCTGAGTATTTATCTTTAGATATCAGCTATTTTCTTAGTGACTTAAAACTCTTAAGTATCACAACATGGAGAAGCAGAAAACAGACTGCTCTGAAGAAGGGACTGAGTATATGTGGTGGCCTT